GGACGTGAGGTTCAGCTCCTTCAGCCTTTCCTCGTAGCTCATACCTCTCAGTTCCGGAACTATTCTGGTGGCATAGTACTGAATCTTCTCTAACTTTGTCTTGTGTTTAACTAGAAGGTGAGAAGTGTATTGATATAGTACATGCTCTCATTAAAGACGAATTACGTTATAGTCTCGACAAATTGGACATTATTGCTGCCTACAGAGTAGGCAAAAAGAATCCATTAGGACAAAACCAGAGAAAAATTTGCCTCAAGCTAGCTACTCAGTCCATAAAATCTAATCTTGTCCGGACAGCTGTATCCCAACGAAAGGGGATTTTCATCAACGAGTGCCTGACTAGGAAAAAACAGAAACTCCTCCACCGCCTGCGTCAAATCCGTAATCAAAACCCAGATGTGATTCATCAGTGCTTCGTTAGAGATGACGTGAGAAAAGTGAGGACGACTTCTGGAGGTAAAATGTTTAGAATTGCTAATGAGGATAACCTCAACACTCTCCTCTCCCAATGTGGTTTGTCTCACCTAATTATCCCTCTCAATGACTCAACATAATTAACCCCCTTAATTAGAACTAGAGACTCCTGTGGGGAGTATATCTTTGCCAGTTTCAGAGTCAAGGATGCTGAGTCTGTTCTGACTCTGGGAGCAGTCTATAGAATTCCTAACACTATATTATTATTATGTACCACGCCCTGCCCTGGTGACTCTCTATTACTCCCTTATCTATCCATATCTCAACTATGGTATTTGTGCTTGGGGCTCTACTACCCAAAATCACTTACGTCCTCTAATTACTCAACACAAAGCTGCTATTAGGACAATATCCAATTCTGGCCCCAGACATCACTCGGTACCCCTACTTAAATCTCTGAATATGTTAGACATTAAGTCACTGCACATTCTCTCATGTGTATTATACATATATAAAACGCTAAACTATAATGCCAATCCTGATCTCAAAAGCTTCATAGAAGGTTGTATCAGAACCCATGAGCATCACACCAGAAATAAATACAGTTTTGATATTCCTAGAGTACGACTTAATCAAACTAGAAATGCTCTACAAATCAAGGGGCCCAGAATGTGGAATGACCTTCCCAACCATGTTAAAGACTGTACCTCTCTCAACCAGTTTAAGTTAAAAACGAAGCTATACCTAATAAATTCCCTGTAACTCGCCTTACCCCTCTGTTGTCAACCCATGTATGTTTTTTGTTTTTTTTGTTTTTCAAATCAACGCTGTTTGAATGTAATTTTCTGTAATAATTTGTAATTGTATTTGTGCTGCTTTTTCAACAATGTTCCCCCCTCTTTTACCTCTATTTTTATTTGTACTCAACACATCTTATTCATTTTACCCATTAGTTTTAAGCTTTAGTCATTAATGTTTTTCCTGCCCGAAACGCTTTGCGTAATAGTGGCTTTAGGCATTGTATGTACTAGCTCTATCTATAAAGCCAACAAACTTTGTAAAATCTCTTTATGTATGTACCTTACCTAAATAAAATTATTATTATTATTATTATTATTATATTTGTTTCTGGTGTGGTGCTCATGGGTTCTGTTACAACCTTCTAGGAAGCTTTTAAGGTCAGGATTGACATTACAGTTCAGCGTTTTATATATATATATATATATATATATATATATATATATATATATATATATATATATATATATATATATATATATATATTTTCATGAATTAATATATTTATATATTTTTTTCTTATGAAATGATAAAGCAGCCCTTTTCTCTATGTATAGGTCAATATAGTAAAATTAACGTAGATATATGACCGAACCTATATAACCTAACCTATATATATATAGGTCGTAGGCCTAGTAGCCATGAACTCATTAGGCTTCTCAGCGACTACTATTCAAGGCCCGATTTGCCTAATAAGCCAAGTTTTCCTGAATTAATATATTTTCTCTATTTATTTTCTTATGAAATGATAAAGCTACCCATTTCATTATGTATGAGGTCAATTGTCTTTTATTGGAGATAAAATTAAAGTAGATATATGACCGAACCTAACCAACCCTACCTAACCTAACCTAACCTAACCTAACCTATCTTTATAGGTTAGGTTAGGTTAGGTAGCCGAAAAAGTTAGGTTAGGTTAGGTTAGGTAGGTTAGGTAGTCGAAAAACAATTAATTCATGAAAACTTGGCTTATTAGGCAAATCGGGCCTTGCATAGTAGGCTGAGAAGTGAGTTCTGACTACTAGGTACGACATATATACACATATATATATATATATATATATATATATATATATATATATATATATATATATATATATATTTATTTATATTTATAATATATAATTAGAGGACGTAAATGATTTTGGGTAGTAGAACCCCAAGCACATTTTTTTATCAGCAATCTTAGGTATACTCAGCAATGTGCTGCTAATTCTATACAAAGATTACATAGAATGGTCCCCTCAGGACATAGAAACATGAAAATACAAGGCTGATTGAGGTCGATCTCGAACCCATTGTTGATGTGACGACTTATATTGAATTTTGTAACTAGCTCATCAAGATTGTAACTTGCTTAGCTAAATGAATTGTGGGGTTCAGTCCCTGAGCCCATTTATGTGCCTCTGTAACCCTTTCCACGTAACGCCCACAAGATGGGTATGGGGTGCATAATAAATGAACTAAACTAACTAACTGATTGATCTATTAGCTTAAGAATATCTTGCTATATTCGTGAGTGCATGAAGTAATTACAGAGCTCAAAGTATACCATTTGGTCTGAAATCACGAACAATTCGGATTTTGTTTGTTTTTCCGCCTGACTAATTTTCTAATACAGAATTTCCTTGCTAAATATAATTTATGTTGTATTTAGCCCTTTTTACTCAATTTTATTATTTTTGTTGTCATAGAAATGAATGCATTATAAATTGACTGAGGAGAACGATCCTCATTACAAATACTGAAGAGTTAAGATAAAAGAACCAGGCGTCAAGTTGTTGATGTAAACACCTGACAGCCATGGCTGACGTAGATAACACCAAGCTGGAGGTAGACACCCTATAATACAGTAGTTGCTGGTTGGGAAGTGATAGGTGAAGCTGAGTTCCCCGCCTGCAGACTAAAGGCTCGTGGGGCTCTTAACTTACCAGTAATTTAATTGACTTGCATTGTTTTTGAAGTGTTGTTGGCGCCACGTACTCATCTTGTCAGGACAAAAGTGCAAAAAATAGTATCTTTCAAAATAAGAAAGTCATGGGAAGTACTGTTTACTTGACACAATATTAAAACGGCGTTCATTAATCGACAAACTATGCTAGAGGTTCCGTTAGTACAGATTTCAAGATTTCCGGGTTCGATTCCCGGGCGGACAGAAATGATTGGGAACGTTAGCTGTCATCTGATGCTCCTGTTCACCTAGCAGGCCCAGGAGTTTGTCGATGGTAATCTTGGGCATAGCATTTTATCAAATCACCTCATTCTTTGGGGCACACGTGAGGAACACAAATGCAAACAAGCCTGAATGGTCCCCAGGACTATATACAACTGAAAACTCACACCCCAGAAGTGACTCGAACCCATACTCCCACAACTGGTATGTACAGGGACGCCTTAATCCGCTTGACCATCACGACCGGACATAAGGAAGTGATAGCCGAGGCTATTTGAACCACTTCCCCGCCGGCACTCGGATGGTAATCTTGGGCATAGCATTTTATCAAATCACCTCATTCTTTGGGGCACACGTGAGGAACACAAATGCAAATGGGGTGTGAGTTTTCAGTTGTATATAGTCCTGGGGACCATTCAGGCTTGTTTGCATTTGTGTTCCTCACGTGTGCCCCAAAGAATGAGGTGATTTGATAAAATGCTATGCCCAAGATTACCATCCGAGTGCCGGCGGGGAAGTGGTTCAAATAGCCTCGGCTATCACTTCCTTATGTCCGGTCGTGATGGTCAAGCGGATTAAGGCGTCCCTGTACATACCAGTTGTGGGAGTATGGGTTCGAGTCACTTCTGGGGTGTGAGTTTTCAGTTGTATATAGTCCTGGGGACCATTCAGGCTTGTTTGCATTTGTGTTCCTCACGTGTGCCCCAAAGAATGAGGTGATTTGATAAAATGCTATGCCCAAGATTACCATCCGAGTGCCGGCGGGGAAGTGGTTCAAATAGCCTCGGCTATCACTTCCTTATGTCCGGTCGTGATGGTCAAGCGGATTAAGGCGTCCCTGTACATACCAGTTGTGGGAGTATGGGTTCGAGTCACTTCTGGGGTGTGAGTTTTCAGTTATATATATATATATATATATTTATTTATATTTATAATAGCAGCTTTGTGCTGAGTAATTAGAGGACGTAAATGATTTTGGGTAGTAGAACCCCAAGCACATTTTTTTATCAGCAATCTTAGGTATACTCAGCAATGTGCTGCTACCCTATTCTATACGAAAGATTACATAGTATAGATAAAAAAATTAGCTTCATAAGTTCATCTGATATTCCCATCTCACAGGATGGTTAATTATACATAGAAACATGAAAATACAAGGCTGATTGAGGTCGATCTCGAACCCATTGTTGATGTGACGACTTATATTGAATTTTGTAACTAGCTCATCAAGATTGTAACTTGCTTAGCTAAATGAATTGTGGGGTTCAGTCCCTGAGCCCATTATGTGCCTCTGTAACCCTTTCCACGTAACGCCCACAAGATGGGTATGGGGTGCATAATAAATGAACTAAACTAACTAACTGATTGATCTATTAGCTTAAGAATATCTTGCTATATTCGTGAGTGCATGAAGTAATTACAGAGCTCAAAGTATACCATTTGGTCTGAAATCACGAACAATTCGGATTTTGTTTGTTTTTCCGCCTGACTAATTTTCTAATACAGAATTTCCTTGCTAAATATAATTTATGTTGTATTTAGCCCTTTTTACTCAATTTTATTATTTTTGTTGTCATAGAAATGAATGCATTATAAATTGACTGAGGAGAATTACGATCCTCATTACAAATACTGAAGAGTTAAGATAAAAGAACCAGGCGTCAAGTTGTTGATGTAAACACCTGACAGCCATGGCTGACGTAGATAACACCAAGCTGGAGGTAGACACCCTATAATACAGTAATTTGTTGGGTGGTTGGGAAGTGATAGGTGAAGCTGAGTTGGTAATGAATCCTGCAGACTAAAGGCAGTCAATGGGGCTCTTAACTTACCAGTAATTTAATTGACTTGCATTGTTTTTGAAGTGTTGTTGGCGCCACGTACTCATCTTGTCAGGACAAAAGTGCAAAAAATAGTATCTTTCAAAATAAGAAAGTCATGGGAAGTACTGTTTACTTGACACAATATTAAAACGGCGTTCATTAATCGACAAACTATGCTAGAGGTTCCGTTAGTACAGATTTCAAGATTTCCGGGTTCGATTCCCGGGCGGACAGAAATGATTGGGAACGTTAGCTGTCATCTGATGCTCCTGTTCACCTAGCAGTAAATAGATGCCCAGGAGTTTGTCAGCTTGTGGGGCTGCAACCTGGTGGGATCAGTAATTCGACCCTAGGGGGGGGGGGGGACTTCCATATTAGCCTAACATAATTCATTGTATCATGGACAGGAAGCCAGAGTGTATTCATACACTTGAGATTGGTCCTGGATAGACCGAAACGTTGTCGTCCCTTCACTTTCTAGTGTGTGGTTTGGTAAACATATTTCAGCCACGTTATTGTGACTCCTCGTCTACATATTCATACACGTTTTGGCTTTCATCGAGGCCCCCCTCCCCCAAATTACTGACCTCTCCCAGAATGCAACCCCACATTATATAATATATATATATATATATATATATATATATATATATATATATATATATATATATATATATATATATATATGTCGTACCTAGTAGCCAGAACTCACTTCTCAGCCTACTATTCAAGGCCCGATTTGCCTAATAAGCCAAGTTTTCCTGAATTAATATATTTTCTCTAATTTTTTTCTTATGAAATAATAAAGGTACCCATTTCATTATGTATGAGGTTAATTTTTTTTTATTGGAGTTAAAATTAACGTAGATATATGACCGAACCTAACCATCCCTACCTAACCTAACCTAACTTATCTTTATAGGTTAGGTTAGGTAGCCGAAAAAGTTAGGTTAGGTTAGGTAGCCGAAAAATGTTAGGTTAGGTTAGGTAGGTTAGGTAGTCGAAAAACAATTAATTCATGAAAACTTGGCTTGTTAGGCAAATCGGGCCTTGCATAGTAGGCTGAGAAGTGCGTTCTGGCTACTAGGTACGACATATATATATATATATATATATATATATATATATATATATATATATATATATATATATATATATATATATATATATATATATATATATATATATATATATATATATATATATATATATATATATATATATATAATAATATATATATATAGGGGTACCACCTCTGGTGCAATTGTAGGGACCCGTAGCCTCGGAAAAGGGAATACAGAGCATTCAGAGAAAACCTTGCCATTCAACTCTGAATACATATGATTGTTCAATTCTACCACCCCTCTTTTTTTTTATGTTGTACACTTTATTATTCAAGGTTACACATTTACATATCTGATTGGTTGTAAAAAGTAAACATTAAGATAATATAAAAGAAAGTTTGTTTACTAGAGGCTGTAGAATTCTTCAAATTCCTCTGACGCCGGGCAGGAACCAAGCGAGCATTCCCCCTCTGGATCGCCACACTGAGACACTGGAAGAGAAAACTTGCCGCTCTAGGGTCTTGTAGTTTCAGTGAACCTGGAACCAAGATCCTTAACCACTCAAATGCACAATGCACAATAAATAATTTTATCTGAGCATTTATTGCACATTTGAGTTGTGCTATTTTTTTAATTAGGCTATATTTTAATGTTTTCAAGTTTTCATCACTCTTTGTGATTTGAAATGAAAATGGTGGAGTTTGGAAACATTTTGACATTAACTTTATCTGAACATTTATTAAAACAACAAAAATATGTCCTTAACAATTGCACTATGAGGTATTTGCCAAAAACAGGTGCGCAGTGCAGGGGCTAAGAAACCTTCTTGTGCTCTCTTCCCATGGATCAAGGGTCTCAGATCCTATTGGAACAAAGTTGTACTGGTGATCTATTTCCCTGTACAGTACTTGATTGACTTGGCTCTTTCTCTCTCTTTTGCTGCGGCTCCTGCTTAGCCAACAGAGATATTGATGTATGTGACTTCCAGGGGTGGATACGCAAGCATAGTCCCATGCCAACTGTCTGCCATACTTCCAAGGATAATGAGAAAATAAACATACGAGTGGAAATGTACTCAGGAGGGCAAAGATGAAGAGTTGTGTTAATGGTGGTATCAAAGTGTTGCTGTTTTTTTTTTTTTTTTTTACGAAAAGTGAGGTTTAGTCAAGAGACTGAGTTTGAGAGTCGAAGTTTGGGAGTTAGTTACATTTCAGATAGGTTAAGATAGATTACGGTAGGGTAAGGTAAAGTACATTTAGTAACATGGGGTTAATGTGTATAAGGTTAGGTTAGGTTGGGGTAGGTTAGTTGAAGGTGGATTGTTATGTTGTCGTATTTCAAATTTTTATGTCTGGGATGTTATTACATCGGTCTTCTTTGACTGGTAATCCTTCTTTGACTTCTTTAACCGGTAATTTATGTTTAAACAACTACTGGTAATGTTTTTGCATTGAATAGTGCTATAGTGCTAATGATTTTTCCAACAGATTCCAGATTTTGTAGACCCAGGAGGTTATGGAGATGTATCTGGAGAGATGGCCGTTCCTGGAACTGTGGGCAAGACTCAGGCAGAGGAGTATAACACACTTGATGAACCAGTTAGGGAAACTATTGTAAGTTTTCTGTATAGGTGCTCTTATTTTATTTTGTTTTGGAAATCTTGTTTGTATCTCTAGTGTCAGCTCCAGGGATAGTAGCCCTTAACCGGGAGCAAGTTGTTCATGCATAACACGGCTAGCGATTGTAAAATAAAAAGTTTTCCTTTATGACTTGTGTGTCTGTGGTAGCTTACTTGAAACAATAATAGGTTGTTTTTCTGTACTAGAGAGCAAAAAATGTATTCCCATTATTATAGACATGAGGTAAATGTAAAAGGGTTGAGGGGAGTGAAATGTGGAGTCAATAAATTACGATACACATGTATACATATGTATAATGAACATGTTAGTTGACTGCCCGAGAATCATTTAATGAGTAGGGTGTATAAGGGTGAATTAAAGGGATCATATGGTAAAGCAAGACTGCCAGTATCTTGGAAGCTGAAGAGTGATACAATATTATGAAAGAATAGGTAAGGGGAGGGGTAAGAGAACTTGAAGAGTGAAAGGTTTGTGTGGTGAGAGAGCCACTTGGAGAAACTTTTGCACTGGCCACCCAGTGATAGGAAGCTCCCAGGAGGTTGTAAGGTGATGGAACTATAGATGTATGCAGTATTTATGTATATTTTTATGCTGAATTTAACCTACTGTATATATTAAACCTTCCAGTGCCTTGACAATGAATAACAGTTTGATATCTTGTCTATTCCATTCTTGGTGTTTAATGTTAATTTTAATGGAATTTTCTGAGCCCAACTAACTCATTCACTTCCTAAGGAAAGTGTTTGCTCCCTCATGGACATTGTGCTCCTCATCAAGGACCAATCTGGCTTTCCAACCCCAATGCAACAGAGATCTTTTCAAATGGCATTACATATTCTGTACCACTGATGTGAGTTGTATTCGACTGCATCAGCTGGACCAAAAGTACTGCAAGAGAAGATAAAACAAAAATCCTCTTTACTGTGCTGTTAAAAGAAAAAAAATGAAATTGATAGAGCAATTTGATCATGTGGGCTAGCGTGATAAACATGACATGGGAGCTTGGCATTTAGGTAAGCACTGTTCAGATAAAAAAGTGCAAAAGATTTTTGGTAATGGGGCCAGTCTTGGTGCTAGTACTTTGAATACGAAAACCAAAGGAAGCATAAGCATAAGTTCTTAGATGCAGCTGTAATCAAATGTTTTATCCAGTATTGTCTTAAAGATAATGTGATTGGGAGTGTGCAAGTTTTGATTGCTATTGAGAAGTTTGTTGATATCTATGGAGATTTCCAAGCTCAGTGGTAGCCAAGGCTATCTACATCATCAGCTTACAACTGAGGGTTCCAAGTTTGATTTCTCAATGGGACAGATAATAGGACAGATTCCCAATAGGACAACAGTGCACGTTTGCATTTACCTGATGTCTCTGTTCACCTAGTAGTAAATAGGTGCCCAGGAGTTTGACATCCGTTGTTGCATCCTAAGGAAGGTTAGTAGTTGACCTCGATAAGCTTAAGTACAAGCTTCCTGTCTTGGACAGTACAAAATATATTTAAAAATAGGTATGTCATTAGTTCTAGGAAGATTTCTGAAGTCTGTGTGGATACAGCAAGTATAAGAGCCATTTAAGAGATCCTCTTCTTGAGATCTTGAGGTTATCTTGAGATAATTTCGGGGCTTTTTTTTTTTTTTTTTTTTTTTTTTTTTTTTTTTTTTTTTTTTAGTGTCCCCGCAGCCCGGTCCTTGACCAGGCCTCCACCCCCAGGAAGCAGCCCGTGACAGCTGACTAACATCCAGGTACCTATTTTACTGCTAGGTAACAGGGGCATAGGGTGAAAGAAACTCTGCCCATTTTTTCTCGCCGGCGCCTGGGATCGAACCCAGGACCACAGGATCACAAGTCCCGCGTGCTGTCCGCTCGGCCGACCGGCTTCCTGTAGGAAGTCAGTCAGTAACTACCAGGCATGCAGCCCAAGAACTAAGCATGCAGCCCGAGAACTACTAGGCACGCAGTCTGAAAACAGCCAGGAAAACGTAAAGCATCCCATGACCCAAAAATTCTTCAGCAGCTGGGTCTACCACACCTTAAAAGCAAAGTAAATACAGTACATACATGGGAGCCATAGCCCATTATAACACCCAATGCCCAAAAATATTTAAACACTAAGAAAAAGTGGGGCCAAAACCACAATCATAAAGGCAGAAGCGAACAGCCACTGCCATAGGGCACAGGTTTACCACAGACAGTACCAGGGCAGAAGCCAGCAGCAACCCACCAGGATGTGAAGAGGGTAAACCCTGCATCAAAAGGCAGAAACGCAAAGTAACTGCTGGACCGCAGTCAGATATAGAAATTTTCAAGGAACCCAAAAAATATCGAACTGATAACATGAACAGGATGAAAAAAGAAATATTGGAACAAGGGACTCTAGCTACCTTGACTATCGAGAAGAGGTGTGTCAGGTAAATGAAAGTAACTTGTCAGAACAAACAATGATTTCCATCTTAAAACACACTGGGTGAAGGCATAGACTTCCTGAGTGCACCCTCTACAAAACACAAAGCCTCAACATGCACAAGGAGCAGGGCTAGGGATGATTGCAACACAAGTGCACAGCAAACTACTATACTAACAGTCAGCAGGCCTCGCAGTAAAAAACTAAATCCTGTGCACTATCCGAAAGACAGGTGGCTCAAGGGTTCAGTTCATAGAGAAGTAACCTGAACCTAATAGAGTATAATTATAAATTTAATTCAACAAAATTGAAAATGCTCAACACTATCTACAATTCAGATAAAGCCTGACACTTCCACTCCTATCCCATGCAAACAGGCAACACAGTTTGAATGGGTCATATGTGGAACAAACTACTGTACTGTACCTCTCAACTTTCAAAAAACACCAACATTTTCTTTGTTCAGACACTTAAATAGCTCTTTATATCACAATACACACATCTAACTGTAACAGATTCCCAAGGATCTGTGGGAAATCCAAAAGACATATACAGTATCTCTGTTCATAAGAATAGTTGTCATCATATTTTTATAATTTTGTGAAATGTACTGTAAGCCTGATAAAACTTGTACATATATAAATATATGTATATATTAATCTTGATTTTCAGATGCGTGACTTAAGAGCAGTGGGCACAAAATTCTACCATGTTTTATACCCCAAGGAGAAAAAGGCACTCCTGAAGGAATGTATGTACGCTTTTAGTTATTATAGCATACAGTGCTCATGTATTGAATTTTAATTAATGTAACATTTGAGTAAATATAATTTGTTGTAGAGTGAGAGATTTGGTTTTTACTATACATTGTGAATGTGAGTACTGTATGTGTTTTCTTAACTTTATGGCCTTTTGTTCTCAAAGTAGCAAACACCCGAGTAGTGCAAGGAGCATGCAAAGCTCCTTGCACTACTCGGGTGGAGTAGTGCAAGACAAAGACAAAGTGGAGCAGAAGGTGTGAAAAATTGGGATGAAACAAGAGGGCCACAGACCTGCTGATATAGACACAAAGCTCCACCCTGTCATAAAGCCGTACCCAACAAAAGGAAGCCAGCACCCAGTCAGTGAACTAGACCAGACCACAGCCCAGATGGAAAGCCACAGGCCACAAAGAGTGAGAATAAATGGGGGAGAAAAACTCCCTGAAAAGAGGGTCCAGAAGTGCCCCTCATGGACACTGGCTTACAACCAACTGCTTGGATGAAACATCTCATCCCAAGACTGAGGCTTAACCACCACCCCAAAAATTGGAAGAGAAAGGTGCCTGAGGCCCCCCAAAATAATCTAGAAGATGCCAGTGACTAGAACCACTGATACATTAGATGTTAGAAAAATACTGTACGTTAATGGCTGGGCTATGGTGGATCCCTGCACAGGAACATTTGAATCCAAAAATTAGCACTCCGCACTTCCCCACTTTCACAGGAATAGAGCCCCAATTCAGACATTGGGCACATCACCCCAACTGACAGGATGGTGAAATGAGGGACCACATGCTAAAATAACAGAATTTTGGGGCTCTAGTAAAGTTCTGGTATCATTGGTAGATTTGGATATTGTTATCCCCATTACTGATTGCAATCTGCTATCCTCTGTTCCTGGTGAATCCTCACTTTTCTGTTCTCTGTAATGGGATAGCAGATGGGAGCCATCTTGGAAGCACTTTTAGAAATCCAGTGTTGAATGTAATGAAATTCCTCTTATTGTGAGTCTAGGGTGGTTCCCTGGATTCTTCCTTCCTTTCAGATGCTTCAGTTCACTTGGTTCGGCTCATGACTGAAGAGGTCTACCCGAGTGATCTAGTTTCCACTGCTCTTTGTGCCTCTGTGAGGGGACTGGATTTTGGCATCTGGTCTCTGGTAGGTTATTAATGATTTACAAGGGCCTGTTGCAACTTGATAGGTGTGGGACTATCCAGAACAGCTAGCAACAGTGAGCCACCATGGACCCACCAGAATAAGGCATTTCATTACATTAAACACTGGGTTTTTACCCTCGGGTGTGTGATAGGGGGTCATTGCTAGACCTGTGTTGGCCTGAATCTTGAATTTCAGGCATTTTGTATCTCCTGGCTGTTGCTGACATAGAAGCAGAGGGTTCTATTTTGCTTTACAAGGCAGACTTAAGACCTTGCTTCTTATGACTTGTACCAAGTCTGAGTTTCACTGCAGATTTTCAAGATTTGGATGGCTGTCTTCTTTCACATAGGAGTCATGATCAGCAGTCCCCCACTGCTGATCAAGACTCTGAAATAATCTAAGATTGAGGCCCTTCATGTGGATTTAACCCTTAAACTGCGCATGATGTGTTGAGTAACTTGCTATAAATTGTGCATCACATCATATGATGTACTGTATTGGAGTACTACGCAAGATTTAAAAGGCCCGCGGATACATGGGGCTCATCTCGCCTTCATCAGGGCTCTTGTAAACAGACGCCATTTTTTTTAAATATCGCGTGCTAAATTCCCGGGTGTGAGGGGCCTCAGTATTGAGTGAGCCACCAAGCCTGATGTACGCAGCATGAGCTCACGGCACTGCTGTTCAGCTTGTGACCACAGCATCGCCTAAAAATACCATAATATATATGTTATATGTTCATGCTATTATTTAGCGATGATAATATTACAGAAGACCCCTGACTGTGATAAAAATGTCCAGGATTCTGATAATAGCAGGATTATTATGATAATTAGCGCTGTAGTGGGAGGAGTAATCTAGGTGGGGAGGGAGGTAGTGTTGTCTGCTGACTCTGTGTGACCACCTTTTACTGTCTGGACTCACTATACCAGCTTAGTTGTTCGCTATGGTGAACAAAACATGCAGATACTTATATATAATGTCTGTATATAGTGAATAAAAACAAAAACTGTATTGTGGGAGGAGAATTTCGGCGAGTCAGGTGAGGTAAGGGAGGGAGGATGTGGCAGCCATTGGCAGGCTGCCACTTCCACTCAGCATACCAACCTAGTGGTTCGTTATGGTGAAAATGAATGTAGATACTTATATATAACGTCTGTATATAGTGAATACAAGCAAAAACAGTATGGTGGGAGGAGAATGTGGGCGAGTGAGGTGTTGAGGGAGTAAGTGGCAGCGAGTGGCTGGCTGGTGTGTGGCGGTCACTCCTCGTTGCTTTTTGACTCATAATACCAACTTAGTAGTTCATTATGGTGAACAAAACATGCAGATACTTATATATAACCTGTGTATATAATGTAATAACCGACAAAGTATTTGTTCACCGTTTGATGAACATAATAATTGAATCAACGATATGCACAGCATAATTTTGAGTACAGCGATGATTCACACATTTTATTATATAAATATATCACACTACACACTATTGAATAATATTACAGCAAAAAAACTACAAAAAATCGGAGGCATTGAAATAATTAGGTAATTATCTCTTTGTGGCCACTCCTGCCTAACAGCTGGGGAGCTACAGACGTCTGGGACACACGCTGAGTCAGCGCCTGTTTTTTGCCAGACTTCCCCACCCTATAGCGGGCAATATATGCCACCTGCGATTTATTATTATTTTTCCCATGATCAGAGAACACAAATTAATAGGTTTAGAAGAAAAATAATTTTTTTTTTTATATGCACCTGTGGGTGACAAATGCTAATTATAATTAGCCCTGAGCAACACAAGGGTTAAAGTGCTTTCATCTTTGATTCCACATACTTTCCTCGCTTATTCGAGAGAGCCACCAATCGGTCCTGGCTCCGCAGTAGGCAAGTAAGTCCCAGGAAGTTACTAAAGTCCTGCATGGCACTTGTCATTTCATTACACTTGACACCAATATATTTTTACCCTGCATTGTTTGGTGACATAGTATTCAGATATAGCTCCTGTTTACGTGTTAACAGAAGGATACATTGGCTACTGGCATAGGGGACTGAGGCTACTGTATTTTCATTCATATTTCACTTGTACTTTTAACCTTATCTACAGTATTTTACTTCTGTATATATTTGTAAATATTTTGGTGTTTTTCATATGCAGTATAACATATTTGTTTTCTTTTTCTTTCAGGGGATCTGTGGGGGCCACTTATCTTGTGCACATTTATTGCCATGTAAGTGAAACATATTTCATAATGGAATTCTGAATAATTCACATTATTCAGGTACAATGCATGCACTGTCACTTTTGTTTTGATCTAAAAGATAATCTTGTACTCACCTAGTTGTACTCACCTAGTTGTGCTTGCAGGGGTTGAGTTTTGGCTCTTTGGTCATGGCTGTCAATTGTCAAGCAACTGATGTACAGATTCTTGAGCCTACTGGGCTCTATCAAATTTTCATTTGAAACTATGTATGGAATCTGCCTCCACCACATCACTGCTTAATGGATTCCATTTGTTAACTACTCTAACACTGAAAAAATTCTTTCTAATGTCTCTGTGGCTCATTTGGGTACTAAGTTTCCACCTGTGTCCCCTTGTTCGTGTTCCACCCGTGCTAAAGTGCTTTGTCCACCCTATCCACCCATGCTAAAGTGCTTTGTGCACCCTGTCAATTCTCCTGAGAATTTTGTAGGTAGTTATCATGTCTCCCCTTATTCTTCTGTTTTTCCAGGGAGGTGAGGGTCAGCTCCCTTAGCCTTTCCTCGTAGCTCATACCTCTCAGTTTCGGGACTAGTCTGGTGGCATACCTCTGAATCTTCTCTAACCTTGTCTTGTATTTAACTAGGTATGAACTCCAGGCTGGAGCTACATATTGCAGGATTGGTCTGACATAGTGGTATACAAGGTCCTGAACGATTTCTTACACAAGTTTCTAAAGGCAGTTCTTATGTTGGCCAATCTAGCATATGCTGCTGATGATATCCTTTTGATGTGGGCTTCTGGGGACAGGTTCGGTGTGATATCAACCCCCCAGATCTCTCTCTCTATTTGACTTGCAGGATTTTTCCTCACAGATGGTACCTTGTGTTCAGCCCTCTGCTCACTTCGCCTAATTTCATTACTTTACACTTTCCTGAGTTGAACTTTAGTAGCCATCTTCTAGACCATTCCTCCAGTTTGTCCATGTCGTCCTATAGTCTTTGTCTATCTTCATCTGTCTTGATTCTTCTCATAATTTTTGCATCATCAGCAAACATGATGAATGGCAGTCTCCGTGGCGTAGTGGTAAGACGCTCGCCTGGCGTTCTGCGAGCGCTTTGTCCTGGGTTCATATCCTGGCCAGGGAGGATTTACTGGGAGCAAATCCTTAACTGTAGCCTCTGTTTAACTCAACAGTAAAATGGGTACTTGGTTGCAAAAACGATTCTTTGCAGGGGTCGTATTCCAGGGAACATAGGATTAAGGACTTGCCCAAAACGTTAGGCGTACTAGTGGCTGTACAAGAATGTAAGAACTCTTAAATATATAAATAAAAAAAATTGAAAGGAATGACTATACCCTTTGAAAGATCATTAGAAACATTAGGATGGGTTCAAGCCCTGTGGACTTTGCTGGTGACATATTCCTTAGAAAATTCAGAAAGAAGCCACTCATGTTTTGTGTGGAATAACAGTAGTAACATCAAATTACTAGAGAGTACAGTAATGGTGCCCATTGCATCTAGAAGCGTATTTTTCCAGGTGCCTTCTATTTATTTGTTTTTATCTTCCAGGATGGTTCAGGGATCTGAAGATTCAAATAAACATGACGGTGGACCGGAGTTTGCACAGGTGTTTGTCATTGTTTGGGCGGGAGCTGCGGTTGTGACCATGAATACTAAATTACTCGGTGGTACCATGTAAGTCATGTTCTCATTAATGTTCCAATATGGAGATACAGTGTAATGTACTCTGAAAGATACGAAAATAAAAGTGCTTTTTGTCTGTATCAGTTGTAGTCTATGATTTGTTTTCTTTGTCAGTTAGACTGTACAGATGACCTTCCTTTGTCTATAGGAAATGCTTATTTTATGGTTATAAGGTGAACCTTTTTATGTGCACTAACAAATGGCAGTCTTTGGTTTCCCGTTGTCAGGGACAGGAAGCCTGATTGGCTTATCGAGGTCCCCCCCTAGTCTAAAGACTGATCTTCCCCAGGATGCAACCCACAACAGTTAACTAACTCCCAGGTACCTATTTACTGCTAGGTGAACAGAGACATTGAGTATAAGGAAACTTGCCCAAATGTCTTGTTCTAACCAGGAATCAAACCTGGGATCATTCGGTCATTAGCCAACTGCACTGACCACTGCACTACAAATTAAATATAAATTCACTGAGACTTATTTATAATTTTTAATAATAATAATACAATATGTAGGATAATAATGAGTAACAAAACTGAGGAAAAGTATACAGTGACACCTCAGCTTATCTACGAACTTTTCTGGGGGAAGTCCCTACGGCTCCCCGGAGCTATCCATGGCTGATATAGATACCCTAACTATTTTGCATCAGTCGATATGGGTGGAGTTCTAGGCCTACCGGGGACCACGAGCCAGAACCTGCCCCCCCCCCCCTCACCGAGGCATGAACAGCAATGGCCCATAGAAATGCACATGTGATTTAGAGCATTCTATATCTGCCATCAACTGGGATAGGCACCCAGAAAGGTAAGCGCCACAAAACAAATTCCTATTCTGGTTAACAACGAAAATCCTTGAGGAACTCGAGGCCCCTTCCGTTTGGGATTGTTTTTATAAAGCTCTTTTCCTTTTGGCATTGGCCTCTGGGGATCGGGTCAAGGAGTTTCATGCTCTCCTCCGGCGCAGGGGTTTCTGCTCCTTTGGTCCTGGTGGTCGTTTTGTTCGGTTGCAGCTGTCTCCTTCTTTTCTGGCGAAGAATGAAACGGCTGCATTTCGGAGGGGACCTTGAGTTGTTGATGCTTGGTTGGTCAGGCTGGGGGGTGCATTATGTTTTGTGTCCGGTTGCGGCTCTCCGCCGTTATTTGCGCGCCACAGCTTCGGTGGCCGGGGATGCACTTTGGGTTGACCCGGTTTCCATTCTTCCCTGTTCCTAGGCTCGGGTCTCTCAGGTTGTCCGCAGGGTTATTAAGTTTAGCGAGCCTGCAGTTTATCCCCATGCCCACGACGTCCGTAAGTTTGCTGCTTTGGCTGCCATCTTTGGCAACATGTCTTGGGTTGACTTTCGGGCACGGGGTTTTTGGAGGTCGAACAGTGTCCTGGCTGCTCGCTACCTGGTGAATATTCCAGGGCCAGGTAGGGCCTGCATTGCCTTGGGTCGGCGGTTGCAGTCAGTTATCTCGACTTCGTGTTGAGGAGCGAGGACGAACCACCTCCCGGGTAAGTCCCTGTTTTTTCCTTATCTTTGGGTAGTTAGAATGGGGAAACTTTTTGACTCAAGGGAAGGCCGTGGCTGTCGCGAGCGAGGTCACGAGATTAGTGAGCCTCCAGCGTGGGTGGAGGCACATTCCACCCCACGTGGCATCCCAACCCCACACGGCGGAGTTGGGATGCCACGTGGGATATACAGAGAATAGGAAGACATTGGCGTGCATTTTAATAAAAGTCCCATAGTATTTGGACAATAAATGGAATTTTTTCAAATTTTTAAATTATTGTCACCATTTGCATCATGCTGCACTCTACATATGTTGGCTTTCTGACGAATATTATGGCATCAGGAAGCGATAGTGTTAATGGAGCGCCACCCGGTTCCTTATTGTCCGAACTGCATTGTCCCTCTTGTGGTTATGTATATCCTTGTTGAATGTCCTGACTTCCAGGACATGCGTGTGTCTTGCTTCCCGACTGTCCCTCGATAGAATCCTTGGTGAATCGGATGCCTTGCTGCCGTTCACCATATGCACCTTTGTTCTCATATTGGCATAATTGGTGATATTTAGCATCTTTCAAAAATCCTGCACCCTTTGATGGTGCTACATAGCCTCCCCAGTTTGGCGCCTTCTTTTGATAATTACTTCACTTCAGGCATTCCTGTGTAAAGGAGCCCTAACCGATGTGTGGAAAAAAGGGTAACATTGTTCCAATCTACAAAATTGGCAGCAAGGAAGACCTCCTCAGTTATAGACCTGTAACACAGTATGGTTTTTGAAATAGAAGATCCTGTGTAACAAATTTACTCAGTTTCTGTGATAGAGCCACAGAGATTTTACAGGAAAGAGATGGTTGAGTTGACTGCATCTATCTGGACTTAAAAAGGTTTTCGACAATTTTCCACATAAGAGGTTGTTCTGGAAACTAGAACATATTGGAGGATTGGCTTTTAACTTGGATGAAAAATTTACTGACAGAAAAATGAGGGCAGTAATCAGAGGCAATGTATCGGACTGGAGAAATGTCATGAGTGGAGTACCACAGGGTTCAGTTCTTGCACCAGTAATGTTGTTTGTCTACATAAATGATCTACCAGATGGAATACAGAATTATATGGACATGTTTGCAAATGATGCTAAGATACTGGGGAGATATAGATGAGCGTCATTCCCGTGAAATTGATCTAGATAAAATAAGTGCTTTGAATGCCATGTGGCAAATGGAATTCAATGTGAATAAATACCATATTATGGAATGTGAAATTGCAGAAAATAGACCACACACAACTTACAAATTATGTGGAAAGGAGTTAAAGAACTCTATCAGAGAACGAGATCTAGGGGTGGTTCTGGATAGTAAACTGTCACCAGAGGAACACACAAAAACATTGTGTGAGGAGCACATGGATCTCTTTCCAGCCTCAAAATTGCTTTTAAATATATGGATGGTGAAATAATGAAGAAACTGTTCATGACTTTTGTCAGACCAAAATTGGAATATGCAGCAGTTGTATGGTGCCCATATCTCAAGAAGCACATAGATAAACTAGAAAAGGTGCAAAGGCATGCTACAAAATGACTTCCAGCACTGAAAAACAAGTTACGAGGAGAAGCTAGAAGTGTTAAATGTGCTAAAGCTGGAAGATAGAAGAAAAAGAGGTGATATGATCACCACTTACAAAATAATAACAGGAATCGACCAAATTGACAGGAATTCCTGAAGCCAGCAACTTTAAGAACAAGAGGAAACAAATTCAAGCTAAGGAAACAAAGGTGCCAAAAAAATATTTGAAAGTTTTGTTTTGCAAACAGAGTGGTAGACAATTGGAACAAGTTAAGTGAGAAAGTGGTGGAGGCCAAAACCATCAGTAGATTCAGAGCGTTACATAACAGTACAGTACTAGGAAGATAGGACACCATGAGCATAGCTCTCATCCTGTAACTACACTTAGATAATTACACACAACTAGTTTTTGTGTGCTACTATCTTATCTTGAGGTTATCTTGAGATGATTTCGGGGCTTTTTAGTGTCCCCGCGGCCCGGTCCTCGACCAGGCCTCCACCCCCAGGAAGCAGCCCGTGACAACTGACTAACACCCAGGTACCTATTTTTACTGCTAGGTAACAGGGGCATAGGATGAAAGAAACTGCCCATTGTTTCTCGCCGGCGCCTGGGATCGAACCCAGGACCACAGGATCACAAGTCCAGTGTGCTGTTCGCTCGGCCGACCGGCTCCCTGGGGTGCCGGTCGGTACACAACAAATTTTGTAAATTTCGAGAAGCTCAGGAATCTGTACACCAGTACTGTATATTGGCACTTGGGAGGCTGGACCAAAGAGCCGCAGCTCAACGCCCGCAAGCACAACTAGGTGAGTACACACACACACACCCCTATCTTGCGCTATATTTATAAGTACTGTACAGTAAAATAATATGCTTCTTATTTTGTTTATTAGTTTAGTAAATGATTAGTCAATGAGAGGCTGGTTGATTTCTATGTGCCCTGAAAATGTAGGTTGCTTTGACTGCCTTGCTCTGCCCTTTACCTCTGTCTTGAATGCATATGACTAATGAGCAGAAATAAACCATACATGGCTTTAACATAGTAAAAATTATAGGATAGTGTTTACCTGTCAATGTTTACAGAAAGTGAAATCTGTCTCTTGGACCCAGATTCCTAGCTATTAGTTGTCTACACCATGGATGTATGAAATATTAATAATACAGCGATGACAAAATAATTAACAAATATATAGTACCTTAACTTGGCCTTGTAAAAATAATGTGGTAGTGCCTGTAAGATTGCATTACTACAGAAAATTGATCATATAAAAGTATAACTTGACTCAGCAATCAAAAGTACAGTACAGATATAGTGTATTAAAAGATTATAATTTACTTTACAAAACAAAATTCTTGCCATATGTATGATGAGAAAATTTATTTGTACGTCAGTAATAATTCTGAAGCTCTGAAGCCATGTCATTTATGCAGAGTAAAAAAAAACTGCCTGCCTTAAATTTTGTAATATATGTACATTGTACATACATATATGTTATATATTTATATTTAGTAATTTTTCATGTTAATATTTTACAGATCGTTTTTCCAGTCGGTATGTGTCCTGGGTTATTGCCTGATGCCCTCTTGTCTCTCCCTCATCTTATGCCGTCTCATACTCATTGCCACGCAAAATAAGGTCCTTTTCGCCCTCAGATTCATTGTCACTTGCATTGGATTTGTGTGGGCGACTTTTGGTAAGTCATCCATTTTTATGTGTACTGTAGTAGATAGAGGCATTACTATGGGAAAGGAAGGGATGGCAAGCTTTTTCACTTCAAAGTTTTTCTTGCAAATACAGTTAGGTAATTATACAATTGCAAACATTTTAAGTTTTACGTTAATTTCATCATTTACTCCCATTTTCTATTTTTGTTTGCATAATATGACACTACATTTCCAGTAAATAAGGTTAATTTTTTTAATTAAGAACAAAATTGCCAGACACATCTTTCACTTATTGTGATAGTGACTCATAAACAATTCTTTTTAACCCAAGTGGGAACTTTGCCTGCAGCATTAATCCTTAAGTTGCGCAACACATCATATGATGGGTAGAGTGACTTGCTATAAAATGCGCATCCCATCATATGATGTATTGGAGTACTACGCAAGATTTAAACGGCCCGCGGATACACGGGGTTCATCTCACTTTCATCAGGGCTCTTGTAAACAGACACCATTTTTTTTTTTTAATCGTGGGCCAAATTCCCGGGTGTGAGGGCCTCAGTATTGAGTGAGCCATCAAGCCTGATGCACACAGCATGAGCTCACAGCCCTGCCGTTCAGTTTGATCACAGCATCGCCTAAAAATGCCATTATATATGTTCATGCTATTATTTAGCGATGATATTATTACAGAAGACCCCTGACTGTGATAAAAATGACCAGGATTCTGATAATAGCAGGATTATTATGATAATTAGCGCTGTAGTGGGAGGAGTAATCTAGGTGGGGAGGGAGGTAGTGTTGTCTGCTGACTCTGTGTGACCACCTTTTACTGTCTGGACTCACTATACCAGCTTAGTTATTCGCTATGGTAAACAAAACATGCAGATACTTATATATAACATTTGTATATAAAAGCAAAAACAGTATGGTGGGAGGAGAATGGTGGCGAGTCAGGTGAGGTGAGGGAGGGAGGGAGTGGCAGCCAGTGACGGGCTGCCACTGCCACTCAGCATGCCAACTTAGTGGTTCGTTATGGTGAACACAAATGTAGATACTTATATATAACGTCTGTATATAGTGAATAAAAGCAAAAACAGTATGATGGGAGGAGAATGTGGGCGAGTGAGGTGTTGAGGGAGTGAGTGGCAGCAAGTGGCTGGCTGGTGTGTGGCGGTCACTCCTCATTGCTTTTTGACTCATAATATAGTACCAACTTAGTGGTTCGTTATGGTGAACAAAACATGCAGATACTTATATATAACATGTGTATATAGTGTAATAACCGACAAAGTATTTGTTCACTGTTTGATGAACATAATAATTGAATCAACAATATGCACACCATAATTTTGAGTACAGCGATGATTCACTCATTTTATTATATAAATATATCACATTAAACGCTATTGAATAATATTACAGCAAAAAACTATGAAAAATCAATCAGACATTGAAATAATTAGGTAATTATCTCTTTGTGGCCACTCCTGCCTGACAGCTGGGAGCAACAGACTGTCTGGGATGCACGCTGAGTTAGCACCTGTTTTTTGCCAGACTTCCCTGCCCTATAGCAGGCAATATATGCCACTTACGATTTTTTTATTATTTTCTCCATGATCAGAGAACACAAATTAACAGGTTTAGAAGAATTTTTTTTTTTTTTATGAGCCTGTGGGTGACAAATGCTAATTAGTCCTGAGCAACACAAGGGTTAACAAAGTTTATTTAAAAAATGTAATTGTAAGTTTAACCTCATACAACAATTTTATTGTGCCTTTTATGGTATTAACAAATATAATTTTCAAAATTTTTCTCTTTTCAGCTGCCATGATATTCCTTGGAGACAGTCAACCAAGCACTAGGAAAGCTTTGGCAGTATATCCAATATTTCTCTTCTACTTTGTTATATCTTGGCTCATTATCTCACATTCTAATGTATGATGTTTCCTTGTTTACACGGTACCTAGATGTCAAACCATGTTATGATTTTTTCTTTATTTTTTGTTATATATATATATATATAAATAAATACTGTTAGCACATGAACAGTATAAAAAAAAGCAACGAGTGTGATTCTAGGCTAATAAATCACAAACATTTTGAGAGCATCTAAAACATGCTGTGTATATCAGCTTATGTTCTCAAGGTGTAAGTGATATTGACGGTTTACATATTGTTTATTACAGATGGCCTTGTACATATGTGCATGTAAAAACATTAATTGCAGTCTGAATTGAGAAGACAGTGTAAGAGATTATAAATATTATTTAAACTATATTAGGCTTAATAGTGAAGCTGAGTTTTTTTTTAAGCATACTCTGTATAAGTTGTGTATTTTCATTAGACTTATTTTGAAGTAAAGTATATAGTACATAATCTTTCTAAAATAAAGTATATATACTGTATATACAGTACAGTATATATGTTTTTTATGCTTCTATCTTCTTTATATACCATATGGTGCTGTTTATCCATTCATTGTAATATGAATTTAAAAAATATTTTATTCTACATTGGCAAGAACTATCAAGAAAATTGTCTATATTCAATATACAGTATATAATTTTCCACCAACTAGCAGGGTGGCATATGTAATCTGTGCTATTACTATCCTTCTCGGCTGCATAGATTCACCCCTCTTGCATACACAGCCACCCCCTAGATTTTCCATGGATGCATCCCTGGAAAACCTAGAGTACATTTTTATACGGTAAATAGCAATTAACTAATAATACAGTTTTAAAACTATTTGTACACAGGTTCCAAAAACCATACAAAAATCTTTAAAAATGGTGGTAGATGAATGGAATCAATTAAAAAAAGGTAATGTATACCAGAAGCTTCAAATCTTCACTGACAAAGATTGTAGAGGAGATAGGACACCACTAGTGTATCCCTCATCCTGTAACATTATTTGGGTTAATACACACTGACCTATGTCCGTCAGACAAGTTTGAACCTATTCCGATAAGTTGCCATCCCTTTAAAAAATGGCACTACAGTATTATATAGCTTATCTACACAAAATGGAATAAACTCAAGCATCATAGCTGTTTATGTTTCAAAATGTTAAACTCCTAGCATAACCTGAAATTAATCAAGCTTCAGAATGTAGAGAGTATTCATAGTATGAGCAGGATTAAGCAAATTATATATAAATTGAGGAAGTCACCTGCTTGAGGTACCCACTGTCTATTTAATTCATGTTTATAGATTAGTTAAAATTTCAAAGTATACAAAGGAGACCAGTTAAAATATAAGCATATTGTCATGTGTGGTTGCAGTGGTTACGAATCCAAAGGGAACAATCATAGAAATACTACAGTACTTTGAACATGTGTTTAATTGATATACAAACATTACATGATTTATAATATTTTTGCTCATATAAACAATCTGAATATCTTGGGTTTAGTGCTTCTCTTAATAATTACCATGTGCATATGTAGTTCAAAAGAGCAAAACTTTTTATGGGCTGGATATCTTAATGTGTTCGGGTTCTTGATGTTGCATGATTTTTTTTTATATTTACAGTATATTTATACACAATATTTGCCACTATTATATTGAAGTATTTTTGCACGCATTTTTGGAATGCATTTATATTTCATGTGTTGCATCAAGGGCATCGCCAGAATGAGCAAGCATGTTGGAATGACAACTGCAAACTAAGTTTGTATTAATAAATGTTGTATGAAATATCAAAAGAATTTTTGCTTCTATTATGAAGCTACTAGTATATCCTTGTCATGAATCACAATAAACAAATACTGTATTTTCTTTTGGTTGCATATTTTGGAAAGTCCCATGATACTTTGCACCAGTATACCACTGCTTGTTACTTTTTATATATGCTGTACAATGTATTGTATATCCTTAATGCTTATTCTGCTTTGAAGATCGAGTTTTTCTTTAGTGCAAAGGTTTCAAAGGTTTTCTGACAAATTCTTTACTTTGTGTGTATTAGTTCTGTACTTGACTAAGGTAATTTACATATGTCACTTAAGAATTTTACAACTCATTCTATAATTTATTTACGTACTTATTTACTTTAGAATTTATTTACTCAGTACAGTAATTATGTTAATCTGATCTTATATAACCAGTGAGTATAATGCTTACATAGTTTGTATACCAGGAACTTCTAAAGTCAAGTTGGTAATAACATTATACATTTTTTATGCAATTTAACAAAAGTCAAATTTCGATACAGTATTTCAAAATGCATGTATTGTCATACATTTTGAAATTGCTTTGTCTGTCTGCAAAAGATTCCATAGTAATATAGTAATCGATTTATTTTTATAAGTCAACGATTAGTAGGTTTATAAGATACTTGATCTAATATCAAATATTAGGGTCCCGGTAGTACAGTCTGGTTCATTCTCAACTCGCAATCAAGAATTCTGGGTTCAAATCCCAGGCGGGACAGAAATGGTTGGGCATGTTTCCCATCACCCAATGCCCCTGTCCACCTAGCAGTAAATAGATACCCAGGAGTGAGTTAGCTTGTTGTGTTTGCAATAAAGTTAATAAATATTGTGATGTATCCTAATGAAGCCAAACCAAACAGCATCACTCAAGAAAGTCAGCATTCTCTATTCTAATTTATACTCTACAACAAAATTTAGTACTTTTTTGTTAAATATTTGCATGTGATTGGATTTTTTTTTTAAAGAATGTTTAATAGCATGTTTTATATGTAGCATGTACAGTAAAATATCAAACTAATGTAGATGGAGTATGATAGCACTTAAAGGTTACAGGATGTGTTCTTTCTCAACATCCAGAAATGTAGAAGTGCAACGAATCTCTGATTTTAATGAATTTTGAGTCTTAAACATACTGCAGTGAATGCCATTTGCTGCTGGGAGTGTTTTGTTTACCTAAGCAATGGAAGCTTTGAAAGCCAGCCAATTGTTATTTATTTAAATTATTCTTCAAATTATTTTTTTTGTTTTTCCCTACATTATTTTTCTCTCTTTATTTTTTACTTCATTGAAATAGCTTTTATAGTTTGACATTTTGAGTAAAAATGTAAAATCACATTTGTATCGGCTATGATAGTGAAGGAAGTCTCAGCACAGCCATAAACTTATTTCTTACCACAATTTTTCCAGCTTTAATTTCTTGGATTGGTAACCTATTATTATTCCTCCCCCTCGGTGGCCGGAGCCTTGACGTAGTAAAGTGACTTGTGCTGCCCATGGGTAGGATGGGGTAGCTCCAGTTCTTCTTCTGCCTGCTGTTGGAGTGCACAAGTTAAATATGTCCCCATATGTTTGCCAGTGCACGCCCTAGTTTCTTTATCCAAGGGTTGAGCCTACCCAGCAGCTGCAGCCTTTGGGTGACAACACTTCTCTTTGGTGAGGTAGCAGGGGTAAAACAGGAGGTTCATGCAGCCCACTGAAACCAATCAGCTCATCTGGTTAGCCCTATCTAGCTAGACATCAGGTGAAGTGAGGTGGGGGGTTGGTATCTCCATTGGTCTCTGGGATACTGTTCGGCCCCTCAGTGGTTAAGTGTGTGTACTGTGCGTTATCCCAGGGGTTGTTTGCTCATGTGCTAATGAATTCCATGTTGGCTCAGTGGTGAGTGGGGGTGCTGGTCAGCAAATGCTCTCATAACTTTTATGTATACTTCTGACCGTAATCGTTTTTTTTTTCTTGTTGCCCTCAATGGTCTTCTTTCCTCCCTTCCCTCTGGCATCTTCTCAGCACTATGTTGATGATCTTACTCTTTGTTGTCGAGGTAATGACTCTCCTTTCCTTCAATGACGACTTCAACTTGCGATTAATGCCGTGTCGTCTTGGGCCACCAATCATGGTTTCAGGTTCTCTACAACTAAGACTTGTCATGACTTTTACTCAGAAACAGGTAGTTCTTCGTCCCTCTGTCACTTTATGGTTATCCCCTTGTGTACAAAGATTTTGCTAAGCTTTTAGGGTTAATCTTTGACACTCGTTTGTCTTGGTTACCCCATATCTCTTACCTCCGAGTTGAATGCTCCAAGGCCCTTAACTGCCTTAAGATTTTGTCCCACAATTCTTGGGGAGCTGATAGGCGAACGCTCCTCTCTCGTACTGCCTAAACTTGATTATGATTGCCCTGCTTACTCGTCTGTTTCTCCTATTCTTCGCCATCTTGATGCTCTGCTCCCCATGTTCAAATACTACATACATACGCCTAAGCTCTAGTGCCTTTCGTGCGGCTCCCACCCTCAGCCTGTGTGTTGAAACCGACGCCCTGTCTCCAGGACCGCAGTGATCGGTCCTTACAACACCCTCATTCTCACTTATGTCATGCTTTGACTTTTGACCCTCCTGTGGTCCCTGTCCCCCTTCACCACCACCCTCTTTCTGTACAGTTGACTTGCTTACAGAATTCTCTCTCAGTGTTACCAATATTTCTCCTCGTGTTGTTCCGTCCTTGCCCCCGTGGAGGGTCCCCACTTTCCTAAATTTTGTAAAACCCTGATCCAAGTTACTGAAGCTTTTACCCCTCCTACAGTTCTGAAATGCCTTTTCCTTGAATGCATTTCTTCCCACTCCATTCCCGTCTTCACCGATGGGTCTAAGTCTGCAGACGGTGTAGGCTACTCTGTTGTTTTTCCCAACCACAACTGTGTGTGTCGCCTGCCTCTGAAGCCTAGCATCTTCACGGCATAACTTTATGCTATTCTTTGTACTCTTCGTCAACTGCTTTTGCACTGTCAATTCTCCTTTGTTGTAGTTGACGCGCAGTGCCTTCATGGCTCTGGAGTCCTTTAATCCATTCCATCCAGTGGCAGATGAAATTCAGCATTAGCTGTTTCTTATCTCCAGTAGATTTAAGAAAGTGGAGTGTTGCTGGGTTCCCAGCCATATTGGTGTGTCCCTAATTGAACGTATGGACGCTGCTGCTAAGGAAGCTATCTGCACTTATCTCATCTCCTGTAAAATTATTCCTTACTCTGACTTTTACTCAGTTATTTATTCCTCCATCCTTGCCCATTGGCAGAGTTATTGGTCTTCTGTTACTAGTAACAAACTGCATGCTCTTAAGGATAGTGTCTCCCCATGGCTTTCCTCCTACCACCGTAACCAGCGGTGGGAAACGGCTCTGACGAGGTTACGTATTGGCCATACACGCTCAACTCGGACAATGGAGTGCCGTCCTGCTCCTTATTGTCCCTCTTACAATTGTGCATATCCTTGCTGAATGTCCTGATTTCCAGGATGAGCGTGTCTTGCTTCCTCGCGGTCACTTATCCTTTGATAGAATTCTTGGTGAATCAGATACTTTTGATATTATTCGCCTTATGCATTTCCGTTCTCATGTTGGCATCCTTAGTGATATTTAGCAACCTTTGATGGTGCTACATAGCCATCCCAGCTTGGTTCCTCCTTTTGATAATTATTTACTTTTCCCTTCTCGGACCTGTGGGGGGGTAGGCGACCAGGTCCATCATCCCCCAAGTCAGACCCGTGTTAAGAGCATCAGGCTCCAGATGTGGCAAGTCCAGACCAAGCGTTGTCTCATTATCCCAACCGTCTGTTTCTCTCCCATTTCTTTGGCAGGGTCGAGAGCCAAGCCCGCAATGACTACCTCACCACCTGGTTTGGCTCGGTCTTCCTTTGTGACACTAATATCGCTTGCCTTTTGTGCTTGTTCTCCTATTGGCATCCTTATTGATATTTAGTGCCTTTCGAATCTCTGATGGTGCTATATAGTCTCTTTGGCTTGGTGCCTTCTGATGTAAAAATGGTGAGAATCGGTCAGAAACTAGATTTTGGGATACTGAACTGGAAATTCTAGTTATAGATATAATTGAAGTTTAAGTTATCGACAATGAATAAGGCGGTTCTAATTCATGAATTTGTGTATGTTTTAGTAAACATTGTTTGGCATTCATACTCTAATATGCAAAAGTTGTTGGTCAATATGTGTTGAAATGTATTCAAGAAAAAATACCCCCCCCCCCCCAAAAAAAAAAAACTATAGGGATAATTATAATAATTACAGTATAATGATTTAGGGTATACTTTATATAAATGAAAAACCCTAAACTGGTCCTTAATCATCAAAACAACCTAAAGAGAGAAAGAAAATAGTTTGAAATCTGAAAAAATCAGTCAAAAAAATTCAGTCCCAAGTTCTGCGAGTTGTGACTGATTTATTTGACCAATTTCATTCTATCTTCACATAGTTAGGGACTGGTATGCACTCTCCAGGATGCGAAGATTACAACAAAATCAAATAATAAACAAAAGATTTTTTTTTAATTTGGGGGGGGGGGAGGGGGGACTGATGAAAGTAGCAGATATTAACACTGGGCAATGTATTTATTTGATATATAACAAAATAGAGCATAATATACATACTCATTATAATGTATTACTCAGCAATACTATAAAAGCACTAGCTGCATCTCCACTTTGTGGACACTTCTTACTACTTCGCTGTATTCTTCTTTGTGCGTTGGACAGGTGCTTGCATCTCTCTTAGTGCATTATCCATCAGTTCCAGTTAATAGGAGCTGTTCACCTTATCAACAAAAACATTCTTTTTAAAAAATTTGTCTAAAATCAATTTCTGAAAATATTTTGATGAAAGTTTCACGACGGTGAAGACAATAAGATGGAGATGATGTTTAACATTTTTAAGAAATTTTAACAATTTGAATAATTTTTGCTTCCCTGCCCCTTTTGCTGACCAGTTTAAGGGTTAATGCATCAGTGATCATGGATCAGCTTGAGCAGTAAGGGAAGTCTTTGCTCAACCAACTTGGTATACAGCATGCCAAGCACTGGTTAGGTTTTTTTTTTTTTTTTTACTATCAATTCAGGTGAACATTCTGCACTGATGTGATGTTACTTTTCAAATTCTTACCGCCACATGCTGGTGCTAGGAATACAGCAAATGAGAATACTCTTTGCCACCAGAAAGAATTTCTGAAACTAAAGCCTTTTCAAGAATTACAATCTTAATATTTCATTCCTGAAGTTAGCATATGTTGCACTAGTACTAAATAGTCATACTGGCTTAGTGCTTTCTTTAGGTAATTATTTACATTAGTGAGCCCTTCCTTTTTATGACTCAAAACTATTTGTAAACATTTTAACGTCACATCCAATGTTATAACCCTTCAAACAACTGTGCTGGGAAGTGGTTATGCAGATTTTATGTGCAGCCTGGCTGAGAAGGCACGAGTCATTAAGAGACCCAGAATTTGTTAACAGGACTGATCGGCCTGTTAATCAACAATTAAGGGAATTGTTGGTACCAACAACCAGGAATATAAAGTTTATTTCTTGTTATTTTACTTTCACAAATTAGGCAATTGCCACTTGGTTTTCCGCTTGTGGCTAACAATAAAAAGCATGATAAAAATAAAAAGCATGACTTCAATGTAAAATACAGTACAGTAGTACCATTAATTTTAAAGAGCATTACAGCTTTCTAAAATGATGCTGTACCAAAGCAAATTGCCATGTATGTTAATGTAGGAACTGGTTTACAGTTTAGTATTGATATCAGGTATTTACTGCATTGTGGAAAAATATGAGGTGTGCACAGTATTTAAAAACCCCATTATTTTATTATACAGAACTTAATTTAAAGAACCATTGTGGAAAAAATATACAACTTGCATTAATCACCAATACACTTATCGGAAGATTTTATCTGTAACGGTTGTGATGAAGTTACAGTAGAAGCGGCCCTCACGTTCATCGTCTCCATCTGCAAGCTCCTCAAGCTCTGCAAAAACAAATTTGTAATTTAATATAAAAATAGTAACTACTATAACATTAGCATATACTAGTGTCATATTTGCCCAACTATGAGGCACACTTTTTAAAGTCAGCCCTTAAGTATCTCCAAGATTCCAAATGTAATGCATCATCATATTAATGCTTTGTGGAAATAGGTACTAATTTAGCTCTTAAATATACAAACAATAGTCCAAGAAAAAATAAACTCATACATAATACTGTATTTTGTAAAGTTTAAGCTTACTAACCATTAGCTGTGGATTGAAACTGGATAAGTGGATCATGGGAGATGTGGCACATCAGAGTCTTTGCAAAATTTCCATGGCTGCTGCCAAGATTCAGTTCCCATGTGCTAGGCTTCATGCTGTAACATTAAATTATATAATTTTCTTAGATGAATACTAACTGCATTGGTCAAAAAAATTTGAACTGTACTGTACAGTAAATGTTTCCCAATAAAAGAAGGTTTCCATCAGCATTCTACATCCCACAAAACACATGAGCCAGAAAGGGAAACCTTGTATTCAGTTTAACCCCTTAAACTGTGCAACACGTCATTTGCAGGATTGAGTAACTCGCAATAAACTGCACATCGCGTCATATGACGAGATGGAGTACTACGCAAGATTTAAACGGCCTGCGGATACACGGGGTTCACCTCACCTTCATCAGGGCTCTTGTAAACAGACGTCATTTAAGAAAAAAAATCGTGGGCCACATTCCCGGGTGTGAGAACCTCAGTAATGAGTGAGCCACCAAGGCTGGCACATGCAGCATGAGCTCTCAGCACTGCTGTTCAGTTTGTAACTCACAGCATCGCCTAAAAATGCCATAATATATATGTTCATGCTATTATTTAGCGATGAAAGAATTACAGAAGACCCCTGACTGATCAAAATGACCAGGATTCTGATAATAGCAGGATTATTGTGATAATTAGGGCTGTAGTGGGAGGAGTATTCTTGGTGGGGAGGGAGGTAGTGTTGTCTGCTGACTCTGAATGACGACTTTTTACTGTCTGGATTCACTATAACAGCTTAGTTGTTCGCTATGGTGAACAAATCATGCAGATATTTATATATAACATCTGTACATAGTCAATAAAAGCAAAAACAGTATGGTGGGAGGAGAATGGTGGCGAGTAAGGTGAGGTGACGGAGGGAACATGTGACAGCCAGTGGCGGGTTGCTACTGCCACTCACCATACCAACTTAGTGGTTCGTTATGGTTAACACAAATGTAGATACTTATATATAATGTGTATATATAGTATAATAACAGCAAAAGGAGTGTGGGGGAGAAGCCATTTTGGTGAGGGAGGTGGCGACATCTGCATGATTTATTATGCTGGGTAGGGGGTGGCCACTATGCTTTTTGAGCACTATACGGGCTTAGTTGAACAGTTATGGTGAACAAAACATGTAAATACTTATATATAATGTGTGTATATAGGGTAATAACACCACAAAGAGTAATGTTGGGGGTGAAATTTTAGTGTGTCTGACCTTGAATGTGTGAGGGAGGCAGCCGCCAGCTGACTGTGTGTAGCGATGTCTCTTAGTGCCTGAACTAACTATATCTGCTTAGTTGTACAGTTGTGGTGAACAAAACATGTAGATACTTATATATAACATCTGTATAGAGTGAATAAAAGCAAAAACAGTATGGGGGGAGGAGAATGTGGGCGAGTGAGGTATTGAGGGAGCGAGTAGCAGCGAGGGCTGGCTGGTGTGTGGCGGTCACTCCTCGTTGCTTTTTGACTCATAATACCAACTTAGGGGTTCGTTATGGTGAACAAAACATGCAGATACTTATATATAACCTGTGTATATAGTGTAATAACCGACAAAGTATTTATTCACTGTTTGATGAACATAATTGAATCAACAATATGCACACCATAATTTTGAGTACAGCAATGATTCACACATTTTATTATATAAATATGTCACACTACACACTACTTAATAATATTACAGCAAAAAAAAACGAAGAAAAATCAATCAGAGACATTGAAATAATTAGGTAATTATCTCTTTGTGGCCACTCCTGCCTGACAGCTGGGGCGGAGCAGAACGTCTGGGACGCATGATGAGTCAGCGTGGAAAAATATGCCATTTATGATTTTTTATTATTTTTCCCATGATCAGAGAATACAAATTAACACGTTTAGAAGAATTTTTTTTTTATGCGCCTGTGGGTAACAATGGCCAAATAGCCCTTAGCAACCCAAGAGTTAAAGAAAATAGGCTCACACTGCAGGCTATCCTTTAGAGTTGTCACGTAACAAAAGTAACGTACAGAACCTAACTTGACTTAACGAAGTACCCATGAATAGAAAATGTGACAGGGGCTCGCAAAACTGACGGGCTATGATTTATAGTACAGTACAGTATATCATATTCTGGCCATTGGGATTTATACGTCAAAATGTGAGGTACTATTTGAGAGGACAGGTTGTACACTGAAGTCCTGGATGCCAAGACCAGATGAATGTGGGGTAGAACTCTAGTATGTAGCATTTATCTCAAAACTACAAAGGCACATCAAGGATAAGAAAGGGCAGAAGACACCTGGCCTCCAGCACTATGGAGCACCAAAAGGTCTCATGGTTGTACTGAATGATAATTCATAATTAATATTTCATTTTGTTGTGGGACAGGCAGCCGGAGTGTATTTATACATGTTAGGTTTATATCGAGATCCCCCTAACGTCGAATTACTGACCCTCCCCAGGATGCAACCCTACAACAAGCTAACTCACTAATGGGTACCTACTTACTGCTAGGCAATAGGAAATGTGCCCAACTATTTCTGTCCTGCCCAGGATTCGTACATGGAATTCTCAACTGCGAGTCAAGAACGAATCCAACTGTACTACCGGGACCTTCTGAAAGCTGCCAGAACTGCAAAGTTAGAGCATGCAGCTAAAAGAGAGAAATGACCAACTCAGAATTACCTGCCCCTTGTTTTATGCAAAGTAAACTCTCACTGAGGTAGATGGTTGAAAGAGACTAGTAACTTTTGTGGTCTAGCTACAAGTACATAGCTCGGAAGCTACTGATGGACAGCTCAGATGGTAGCATTTCAATGCTTGCCGCATTCTATTGCAAATAAAGTCAAATTTAGGAGAAATCTAGAATTTGTCAGACAAGAAACGTCTATTCTGTTCTTGCCGTGTATGCAGGTATGAGTGTGTGTAACTACATGACCCCAGTTGCTCCATGGTCACCACAACACTGCCGGCTGTCATCGGCATATTGTACTCACCTAATTGTGCTTGCGAGGGTTGAGCTTTGGCTCTTTGGTCCCGCCAATTGTACTTGCCTAAGTGTGCTTCCAGAACCAAATGTCTGCTTCCATATGGATCATTACACCTCTTACATATGTTAGCATTTTACAGTATATAAACTGAAGAATCTTTTTATGTAAAGCCATTACTGTTGCAATGCCCTGCCATGTACTTGGCAAGAGGACTACAGGAACACAATGTTAACTCATTAGTTGCTCCATGACATTTCTTAATAATAATTAAAAATATTAGCTTTTACTACATCTCACTTGAAACATTAATTGGTAAATGACTACCTACATCTCTTCACTACCTCATCTATACTGTAAGTATTTAGTTTCATTTTATGTAGTTTTTAACTTGTTACAAATGCCTAAACAAATATGAAAGAAATTGTCTTAAATTCAAAATAAGCAGTACCTTTCTTAACTACTATTGATATAATCCTGGCATTGAAAGTGGCAGCTTGTTGCACTGTCCAAGTAAAGAAATTGTGATCACAACATTTTTTTTTTTTTTAAATGCACCCAGTGTTGCCATTTTGGGGGGATACCAAGCAGATACTGCATGGTGCAAACATCCGTACTGAACACACCACCAGCCACTCATGTCTGATTCAGTTGAGAAGGTGTTAATGATGCACAGTACTTTTTTAAAAAGGGGGTAAAGCATGGTAGAATGAATAACTAAATGAAAACAGCAAGCCAAAAGGTATATCTGACCTGCTAAGCAACTTATGGACAGTCAGTGTTTCAAGTCTGAAGGAGAATGAGTATGCTGATCTTGGCTCCTCTTCCTTCAGTTGATTTAGTACCTGCAAAGTGATATTAGCCTAACATTAATTAAAAAAAATAACACAAAATTTAAGTGATCTTTTACCTGAAACTTTATGCACAACAATGAAAAAGCTATAGTTCAATCACAAGATGGCAATTCAGAAATAATATCCCCATTCTCCAATCCGGGTATATCCCATGACAAAAGCTTTCTGCTTTCTATTCTTGCTCCCCAACTATCTCTTATACTTCCTTCCCCAATATGAAAACAATTCAAAGCACTTAAATCTATTTTAGATCTTTACACACAAATTGAAAAGGAACATGCATTTTTACAATATCATTAAAATGAACAAACAAGTTTTTCTATACTTCAAAATTATAAACTTGTTGACAAGATCAGGCCTCCACATCTTCACAGTATGATCAGATAAACTTGACAATTTTCTTCAGCCAAGATGATTTGTAAGGTAAACAAATCCACAAGGGCCGTGATGAGGATTCGAACCTGTGTCCGGAAGCATCCCAGACACTGCCTTAATAGACTGAGCTACGACTCGGTTCATTTTGTTCATTTGATGCATCATGTTAGTGTGATCTCTGTGTGTAATGTAACTACAGAACTGTACTTAATGAGGAAATTGAGAGTGAGGATTGCCAAGTGTCGCAAGAAATAATACTCCAGTAGTGTACACATACATGGAGTTTGAGTTGAACACCATCAAGTGCAAGGTATTGAAGATGGAGAAAGGAGACCAGAAGGATTATACAACAAAGGGAAAGGCAGCTATAGAATTCAGAAAGAGATTAAGACTTTTAGAGTTGACATAATTCAAGGCTGGCCCAAAAACACTTCAGAAACCTTTTAAGGTGGACAAGATTGCTTCCTCTGTATAAATGGGAAAATGGAAGACTTCAAACAAAGTACATTTTCTCAACCAACAACCACTATGGGTGAAGGTGGAGCAACATGTGTAGTCATCATTGTCCCAACAACCAGTGCCTGTGCAAGAGGTCCTGCGACTTGATGAATGGTTGGAAGCCTGTTCATTTAGCTGACGGAATCTCCACAGGTGAAGCTCGTGGAACTGGGGAAATGGAGGGTATCTGAAGTTGGATTAGGGTATTGTTATTTCAAAGAAAATGAAAGGAGACAAGCATAAAGTAAAATCAGAGTGAGAAACCATTGAAAGTGGGGTGCCCTGGGAACTCTGTTGTTTACCAAATGTATAAACAGTTTAGTCACAGGATTAAAAAGCAGCATTAAAAAATTTGCCACAGATACAAAAATCACCCATGAAATGCCAAGTTTAGAAGAATCAAAACTGCTACATGACAACTTAGTCTTTTAAAATGGGTTAAATAATGGTAGATGCATTTCAATACAGAATTGACAAATACAGGATTCTATGCCTAGGAAATAATAATAGTTAATAGATATCAGCTGCACAATGCAAACACTGTCAAATATGAATGCAAAATATCAGAGTGCCATGAATAGCAGATGTACATAGATTTTCTTGGCTTAAGATAAATGTTCGAAATACAACAAATTAAATATTAGGAGTTGGCGAGTGTTAGTAATAAGACCTCTAATGTTATTCTCGAATTTTTTTATCATGTCCTTGTTAGGTTCTATTTAGATTATGCGATTCAGTTTTTGTTGCCATACATACTACTGCAGAGAATGAACGTAAATACTTATGAAAATCTTACAGTTAAGGATGACAAAGCTAATTCTGGGATTAGAAACCCCCATCATGAAGAAGGCTAAAAAGCTTATTTTAGATTCTCTAGAAAGGTAGAGTAATGGAAGGCATGATTGAAAGGGTTATTAATAAAATACTACATATATCCACACATAATAGATCACAAAACAATGGATAAAAATTGGGTAAGTTTAAACTAAGAAAAAACTTGGGTAATTACTAATTTTAAAAGTGCTTTTGATTGATGGAACAGATTGTTGGGTAACAGAACAGATGTGGAATTATTGTATTGTTTCAAATGTAGGTTAGACATGTATAAGAGCGAGTTTGGTTGGGTATAAATAGCAGCTGATTCACATGGGCTAATAGGGCTTCTGTGGTTTACTCTATTCTTATGCATGTTCCTGGTGAAAATATTAAATTCTTCGGTCAGAGCAACAAGAGTACCACAAATTGGTAGCAAGAGGGGTAGGCAGCTAAATGAGTGAACCAGTAGTTAAATAGCACATTCCTTAGCTTTCTTAGCCAAGGAGAGCTTGTAAAAGCTGAGCAAATTATTTTTTAAACTTACTACATACTCCTCCACAATACATGGTAATTCCACAACAGATGCAAAATTAGAGTACTCCAATATACCAGTATGGTTATCTTGAGGTTATCTTGATTTGATTTCGGGGCTTTTAGTGTCCCCGCGGCCCGGTCCTCGACCAGACCTCCACCCCCAGGAAGCAGCCCGTGACAGTTGACTAACACTCAGGTACCTATTTTACTGCTAGGTAACAGGGGCATAGGGTGAAAGAAACTCTGCCCATTGTTTCTCGCCGGTGCCTGGGATTGAACCCAGGACCACAGGATCACAAGTCCCGCGTGCTGTCCGCTCGGCCGACCAGCTCCCCCTGAATATGAACCATTAGGGCCATACGAAAGGTTCCCTATGGCACCGATACTAAATGCAATCTGCCTGACTGCATAATTCAATCTCCTATATGAAGCAGAATTTTACCTCAGTAAATAACCAAGTGGTATAGCTCACGTATGAAACTTTTAAAGTTTGTGAAAACAGAAATACCAAGTACAATTTTAGTGACCAGAAAAATCATGAATGGAGATACACACTATATAAAAAAAATGTGTTCAGTATCTCTAAAGATAAGTATTTGTACATTACTGTATATATATATATTGTAGTATATAACAGTATTAGTATAGTTGCAATGACAAAGTTAATTTGTCACAAGAAACAAAGAATATGATGAGCATAATCAATATTTTAAATATGAAGGCTAAATTATAGAAAGAGCCATAAATGTCTATCGAGTAACTAACCTGTTCAGTGATCTGGGTCAACGATGCTGGTGGCAGACTGAGGTAAGTATACAAGGCAAGTACAGCTTGCAAGGCTACATGAAGCCTCTCCAACTGTATTATTACCATCTCGGTAGAGTCCTCACTATTGCTCACAAACCATGAAAGCTGAACACCAGTAGCCAGTTCACCAGCTAAACAGCAAAATGGAAAACAAAAACATGATACAAAGTATCTAAATTTTCAGTGAAGAAATATTAAATCACAAGCTCAAAATTTAATACATTAATGGCACTAAATTTTAATTTGTACAAATACAAGTTATAAATAAAACTACACTAAGAAACCTAAAGTAAAGAAGAGTGTTTGATGAATAACACATTGAGGCTTTACCTTGAAATATGTTAATATAGTCTCTCTTGATTTTCTCACAACCGATCTCAATGAGCATATGGAGGGGCAGAAGACCAGATAGATCAGACACCATTTCATGTCCTCGCATCAAATCCCGAGACAGATTGCCAACCTATGTATAGTTACTGTATTAAAATAAATATTTGGCAAAAAAACTTTATTGTAGAGTGCATTAAATATAAATAATCAGTACTTGTCTACATACAAAATGGGATTAAGCATACAGCATTCCCTTCAACACATCAACCACCTTGGGTCTATCTACTGTACAGTATTTATAAAATAATATTCATTTGCATACTAATGAACTATGACCTCCATACAAAATTATTATAATTATCTAGCACCTTCTGAGTTTAGTTAATCTGTTGCCGTGTTCCCAATGGAACTGAAACTTACCCTTCTAGATGGAGTGTCCTTATGAAAAATGAAACGTTGATTGAAATTAAATGCCCTTATTCGGACAGCGCTATGTTGCATTAGGCTGCCTGCAGAATTGAGGTAATAGCTCAATTCTGCAGGCACAAAAGTAGTAAATACTGAGTACAATCTTTTCCCATGTGTAAGGAGGGTGGGAATGTGGAGCTAATGAATACGGATAAGAAAAGGCCGGCCATTTTCATTACAATCATTGCTTAATTTCTGGACTAGACCCTCATTAACTCCCAGGTGAAAACTGATAACAGTGACTGAGAATGGTAACAACTCTGCTGAAAAGAAAGAATAAAATTAGAACTAAGACAAAGGAGATTGACCATAGGAGTAGAAGGCAGAAGAGATACCCAAAAATTATACAAAAAAGATACAAGGGCCTACTAAGGACCCAACACTGGAACCCTGTACCCTTCACAAAGGAAAAACCATCCCAGGGCCTGAAGCCCACAGGCACTGCCCCAGAACAAAGCAAGGTGGCAATTAAAAAAGATCACCCACCACACTCATCAACCAATGGAAGGTGGGAAAGAGGCCAACAGACCCAACCAAACCCAATGACCAAGATATGCAGGATAGAGGGCAGACGCATCCATCTGAAAAAACAGAGTACCCTACCTTGAAACTAGGGGCACACCATCGAAAAAATTTGGGGCATGCAGCCAGCATAGGAACCAAGATGAAAAGACAGTAGCAGACAAAATAAAAGTCCACAGCCAGCAATGAGGACAGGAAGAAAAACAAGAAAGCCATGAAATACTGGGGAAAACAAGCACAGAGGAAAGTAAGAAAATGCTAAATGAAGGACACAAAAACAACCTGGGATGTGACCACAGGATGAGACTTTGGGTACAGAACATACATAGGCATCCATCCCAAGCCCCCAGCATAGGGGGAGGGGGAGGGGTGGGAACCTAGGCAATAGACAATATGTAAACATTACTGCACTGTGCAGGCATTACAGGTGGAGTGTGTCTCAGGTACCTAAATCCTCCATGGCTTCTAACTGTCCTAAGGTAAGAGTAGATGGGAGTGCCACAGAACATACAGAGGTACAAGGCTATATCACCCAACTGTATCTTAAAATTCCCATCTTCTCCTAAAAGGAAACGAACCAGAGTCAGAGCCAAAGTGTATTATAGAACTCGATGAATTGGGAGGAAAAGGGAATGGGTACTAATAAACAGAACTTTAACCTCCCAAATGTGTCTACAACATTCATACATTCCCTGGTATGACTGCCTGCTGTTTCACAGATAAACTAGGCGGGAAACTTCACAACACGAATGTTTTTCTAAGAATGAACATAAAGGTGTTTACCATCTTAATGAATATATCACTAACTTTATTTTGAAAGCCTGTATGGTATTTGTGATTGCTGCTACTTGTATTTATTACATTAAATTTATTAAAGTATATTATTAATAGTGTATTAAATTTATTACATATTACATTATTAAATTGATGAATAAATTACAAAATATAGTGTTTTACATCAAAGTTCTAGAATTATTAAATGTTAGATAAACATCAATATACTGCATTAGCACAGAACAACTCATGCTGTTCTAACACACAACATATACTATTCACGTACAGTATTACTGTACTGTATTTCCAATAATATTCCCTTAAAAATAAGCTTCCTCATCTACATACTCAATTTATTGACTGCACAAGTATAAACATAAGCTTACGGGTGATCACTGGTACCACAGACATTCAAACTGACCAGCACTGGAGCTTCACACAGCTTAACCCTTAAACTGCGCATGGCGTATATATACGCCCTGAGTAACATGTCCCATGGTGCGCATGGCGTATATATACGCCATAGGGTGCCAGGCCTGATTCAAATGACCCGCGGCTACACGGGGTTCACAGTAGCTTCCTCAGGGCTCTTGTAAACAGATGCAATTTAAAAAAAAAATCATGGGCAATATTCTCAGGTGTGAGAGGCACAGTACTGTTGGAGCAACCAAGGCCGGCGCACGCAGCATGAGCGAACAGCATTGATGTTCAGCTTGTGACCACAGCATCGCCGAAAAATGTCAAAATAAATATATAATTGTTATTATTTAGCGATGACAATATTACAGATGACCCATGACTGTGATATAAATAACCAGGGTTGTGATAATAGCAGGATTGTTGTAATAATTAGCGCTGTGGGAGGAGTGATGCTGAGAGACGGAGGGAGACAGCATCGTTTACTGACTGTGTGGCCACCTGTTATTGTTTGCATTCACCATACCAGGTCAGTGGTTCTCTATGGTGAACACAAATGTAGATACTTATATATAATGTGTGTATTAGTGTAATAACAGCAAAAGGATTATGCTGGGAGGAGCCATATGGGTGACGGAGGTGACGTCGTCTGCACGATTTGTCTAGCTGTTTAGAGGGTGGCCACTATGCTCTTTGGGCGCACTACAAGCTTAGGTGTACAGTTACGGTGCATAAAACATGTAGATATTTATATATAATATGTGTATATAGGGTAATAACACTGCAAAAGGTATTGTTGGGGGAGAAAGTTTAGTGCGTGTGACCTTGAAAGAGTGAGGGAGCCGCCAGCCGCCATCTGTGTATAGCGACGACTCTTAGTGCCTGAACTAACTATATCAGCTTAGCTGTACAGTTGTGGTGAACAAAATATATACATACTTATATATAACGTCTGTATATAGTGTAATAACACCACAAATGGTATTGTTGGGGGAGAAAGTTTAGTGCGTGTGTTGAGGGAGTGGCAGCGAGTGGCTGGCTGGTGTGTGGCAGTAACTCTTCGTTGCTTTTCGACTCTCAATACCAACTTAGTGGTTCGTTATGGTGACCAAAACATGCCAATACTTATATATAACCTGTGTATAGAGTGAAATAGCAGCAAAACTATTTGTTTATAGTTTTATAAACATAATAATTGAATCACTAATATGCACATCATACTTTTGAGTATAGCGATTATTAACCACTTTTATTATATAAATATATTACAATACACACTATTGAATAATATTACTGCAAAAAAACTAAGAAAAAATCAATCGGAGACATTGAAACAATTAGGTAATAATATCTTTGTGGCAACTCCCATCTGTCAACGCGGGTGACGCTGACCGGGTCTGACGACCGCTCTGTCAACGCCCACTTTTTGCCAGACTTCCTCGGTCAATTGCGCCCAAAATATGTCACCTACGATTTTTTTTTTTTTCCATGCTCAGGGGACACAAATTAACATGTTTAGAAGACGAAAAAAAATTTTTTATTTTTTTTTTTTCGTGCGCACAGGGGTGTAAATGTCCCAAGGACCCCTGAGCAGTGTAAGGGTTAAGAGCAAAGTTATGCTCACTACAACTTGTTGCTCTTGTATAGCAGCAAAATATAAACAATAGATAACTCAACAATTATACGTATCAAGATACTGAGATTCCTTTGGAATTATCCTCATCAACCTAATAAAAAATCTTCTACCATCCTGAGCATCAGTCAGGCCATATCTGTCAGGAAAAAAAATTCAGAATGTCAAATGTTGGAAATAATCTTTCTAAGTTCGAATTTGCTTTTAAATGTCCTTACTGTACTCACCTATATCAGTGGCCATAACCACTTCCCTAACTAAACAGTCTTATCTAAGTAACCCAACATTAACTGTTTTACCTGTGTACTGTTGCGAACGTGTATCTGTGGGCGAATCTCCCCAGATGCTACAGCATTGAACACCAAGCTTAGATTTTCCTTCAGTTCTTGAAATGACTCACATTCTGTTCAGAAGTAATAATAAAACCCTATTAGTTTTAAGTATTAAACATTGTAATTTTCACAAATTTACATTTAATAACACAGCTGGAAAGAGCAGTATAGTGTTGTAACAGTGCAAGTATTTTGCACTCTTTCATGTATAATTGTGAGTTATAATTGTGGGTGGGTGTGTGTGTGTGTATGCGTGTGTGCGTGTGGTGAGGAGCGAGATGGTACAAGTGAGGTGTTGACTAGCTTCAATCCGCTGACACGGCAGTACTTAACAAGGAAGGCCTTGTGTACTGCAGGACCAGCCTGGGTCCTATTAGGGTTAGTTTTGCTTCTCAGTCCTTATTTGGGCATGAGGAAGAGTACACAGCTTCCCCACGTTGGGGGTGGCTGGTAGATTCAGTTAGCAACCGCCTTGCACAGAGAGAAGGTGACCAGCCAGTCTTCACACCCTGATGGGTGACACCCAGGCACCCTCAGGGTGCATCCATCTGAGTTGAGAAGGTGAGACTCCACTAGCTCGTCACCACTAACACACACTTCTGGTTTAAGACAATGCATAACTGAACTCTCACCTTCTCAACTAAGATGGATGCACCCTGAGGGTGCCTGGGTGTCACTCGTCAGGGTGTGAAGACTGGCTGGTCACCTCTCTGTGCAAGGCGGTTGCGAACTGAATCTACCAGCCACCCCCAACGTGGGGAAGCTGTGTACTCTTCCTCATGTCCAAATAAGGACTGAGAAGCAAAACTAACCCTTATAGGACCCAGGCTGGTCCTGCAGTACACAAGGCCCTCCTTGTTAAGTCCTGCAGTGTCAGCGGAATTGAAGCTAGTCAACAACTCACTCGTACCATCTCGCTCCTCACCAAGATGCACACATGCATAATCACACACACACCCACCCACAATTATAACCCACAATTATACATGAAAGAGTGCAAAATACTTGCACTATTACAGTGTATTAAGAATTTATTAAGTGAATTTGAGGATAAGAGGAAGTCCAGTCCAGGTGGATATGACAAGTGTGAGAGAGGTAGCGTGGATCAAGCATGAACAGGGCAAAGGATATGATAAAGAGACAAAGCTGGGTGGAAAACATCTGAGTAAATAAAGATGTTTGTGGTGTGTATAACAAGTTACAAGTAGCACCGTACACCTGGTCTCATCTCGTGCTTCTGTGGATAATTTGCAAGTGTGGTGGTGCTAGTGTGTGTGTGGATTTATAATGTGTATTTTATTGTGAATGTGGGAGCAATTTTTGTTCCTCTGGGCTGATGATTCCCCACTATGAAAGAGAAACAGCATAATGATGATAATGATTGCCTATAAAAAGTTCCAAACCATTTGCAACTTTTCTAAATTTGAAAATATCTAAATTTATGTTGCTTCTATTGCAAACATCTAGACATGCATAAAAAATTACAATATTAAATTCTGAAAATTCCTGAACATTGGATTTAACAGTGCAGTACTGTATTTTCAAAATCCAGATTTTTTCACCATGTAAATATTAAACTGATATAGCACACTTGTTTTTTTTTTATTTTAAATTAAGATCAACATTTTCCTTGGTTTATATAAGGAACATTATAAAGAAAGAACATGTATAGTATATACAAAAACAACAAATACAAAATAGTTAAATAAAGTTAATGATAACAAAACCTACTAATAAGGACTGTCCAGAGGAGATCAGTGAAGTCCATATTCTGTCGTCTGTTGAAAGCTGTTCCCTTAATCAGCATGTCAAAATCAGATATTCCGTCATCATCCTCTTTCTTTTGCCGCTGACCTTTATATTTAAAACAATAAGTAATTTTTATTGCAGATTTCATGCTATAAACACTATATGCATGGCCCAATTAAGTGATCAACTACACCCAAGTATAACATCATTGAATATACTATATCCTACCCCTAAACAACACTGCAGTATGCTATTCTGTACTGTTAACAGGATACTATCAATTTTTCTATCTTTTCTTTCTTTTCAAAAATGAAATAAATTTTTCTCCTTTAATACACTTCCTCAATCTCTATCCACTCAAATACACACACACACATTCAATTCATGCTTCTAAATTCATTTACTAACAGAAGACATGACAATTGCCCAGCAACTAGTTCATAATTCACCCACCTCGGCTTCATTCTTAACGCACAATTGAGAATTCTGGGTTCGAATCCCAGGCAGGATAGAAATGGTTTGGCACATTTCCTATCACCTAATGTCCCTGTTCACCTAGCAGTAAGTAGGTACCCAAGAATTAGTCAACTTGTTATGGGGTTGCATCCTGGTGGGGGGGGGGGGGACCTTGATATAAGCCAAACATGTATGCATACAATGGCTGCCTGTCCCCTTTATCACATGCCCTCACTCAGTCTCACAGTTATACTGATGATTGCATTTTTTTCCCCTCTACAGTATTAGTAATTGATCACTTTTCACTACTTATTGAAAATAATCGACTTTTGATAAAATTGCAAGTGTAGCTCACTGCAATATAATAAATATATTGAAATGTAGCTATACAATATTCAAATTTTACTGATGTCCAAGCATTATCACACACATTTAATACTGCACATTAATTAAATCAAAATGGTAGTTTCTTTAATATGTTATACTTTATATTTAACTGGAACAATGTGCTTTGTATCTGTACAGTGGCTATTACAGTAAATCTATAACCTTACCTATCAACAATAAACTTAAGAAAATCTGGGATATAGTAATTCAAACCTTTTTCTCTGATGATAGCAAAGACCTCTTCCATCTCCTGAGCTATAGTTACAGATCCTTCTCTAATGAACCAGGCCACCTCCCCTGATTCAATGCCAGAGACAAATCCTCTCAGCATATTTAATTCTTTATACATCTGGTGGGCAGCACTGCGTGGATCACTGCATACTATTCGTAAACTCTGGAAATTTTAATACTGTATTTTCATCTTCCTGATAATACTGTACATCAATTCCAACTCAACCACCTAACTTTTTTTTCTAACATTGTACTGTAGAGTACATATAATGAGGTATAGGCCATTAACAAGATTTTTTTTTATTGTAGCCAGTTTCACAAAGATAATAATAATCTTAAAAATGTTCCCTCCCCTTTGTACATATAAGAGAAGAGTATATTCAAATATTATAAGTGAAGGATGGAATGATTATGGGTTGTGAGCAGATGAGCATATGGTTAGTGGAGGGCTGTGTGTAATTACCTAAGTTTAGTTACAGGATGAGAGCTACGCTCGTGGTGTCCCGTCTTCCCCCGCACTCTTTCTCATATAACGCTTTCAAATTACTGACGGTTTTGGCCTCCACCTTCTCAATTAACTAGATCCAACCGTCTACCACTCTGTTTACAAAAGTGAATTTTCTTATATTTCTCTGGCAGCTTTGTTTCATTAGTTTAAATCTATGACCTCTTGTTCTTGAAGTTCCGGGTCTCAGGAATTCTTCCCTATCAATTTTATCAATTCCTGTTACTATTTTGTACGTAGTGATCACCTCTTTTTCTTCTATCTTCTAGTTTTGCATATTTAATTCCTCTAACCTCTCCTCGTAGCTCTTGTCCTTCAGTTCTAGGAGCCACTTAGTGGCATGCCTTTGCAAATTTTCCAGTTTGTTGATATGCTTAAGATATCGGCACCATACAACCACTGCATATTCCAGCTTTGGTCTTACAAAAGTCGTGAACAATTTCTTTAGTATTTCACCATCCATGTATTTAAAAGCAATTTTGAAGTTAGAAAGTGTAGCATAGGCTCCTCGCACAATGTTCTTAATGTGGTCCTCGGGTGACAGTTTTCTATCTAGAACCACCCCTAGATCCCTTTCTTTGTCAGAATTCTTTAAAGATTTCTCACATAATTTATAGGTTGTGTGGGGTCTATGTTCTCCAATTCCACATTCCATAACATGGCATTTATTCACATTAAATTCCAGTTGCCAAGTGGTGCTCAATATACTTATTTTGTCCAGGTCTTCTTGAAGGGCATGACAATCATCTAGGTTTCTTCTCTTCCCTATTATCTGAGCATTATCAGCAAACATGTTCATATTAATTCTGTATTCCATCTGGTAGATCGTTTATGTAGACAATGAACATTACTGGTGAAAGAACTGAACCCTGTGGTACTCCACTTATGATATTCCTCCAATCCGATACATTGCCTCTGATTACGGCCCTCATTTTTCTATCAGTTAGGAAATTTTTCATCCATGTTAGAAGCTTACATGTCACCGCTCCAATATGTTCCAGTTTCCAAAACAACCTCTTATGTGGAACTCTGTCAAAAGCCTTTTTTTAGATCCAGATAGATGCAGTCAACCCAACCATCTCTTTCCTGTAAAATCTCTGTGGCTCGATCATAGAAACTGAGTAAATTCGATACACAGGATCTTCCATGTTGTGTGTGTGTGTGTGTTGTGTTACTGTGGTGATTTGGTGTTAACCTAGTTGTCTATGAGAAGTACAATCTAGCTTTAGAGCCCTGCCTAGTAGCTATTGAACCAGGTGCACTTATGCCTTCGATACATAACAACAAGCCAACACTTGTATGCCTTTAAACTTGGGATTTTTCGAAGCCTTAACCAGTGGTGGAGGTGAGGAAGCTCGGCGATTATTAGACTTAAGCCAAGTCCAGCAGGTGCACCACCAGAAGCAGCAGGAGACTTTGATTTGGCTTATATAATAAAGACTAAAGCCTCAAAATCATCATAAAGAGAGGGGTATCTACTTGAAGCTACTGTATCCTCTCAAGCAATGAATGAGGTCTACAAAGGACTGAAAATGAAGCCTATAAACAAGCTGCTACCTGTGAAGGCTGTTTTGCCAAAACCGAGGTCTAGTAATGATATTTGTCGCTTTTTGGAGGGTGAAAAGGCCCCCTGAACCCATCAGAAGAATTCCTGCATGCAACACAAGTCACAATCACTGAAACAACACAGAGGCACAAACCAGAATGCTGCAAGCAATAAAGTTGGGCTCTGGAGTGAGTAGGAAATTCATCATGACCCAACCAGCAGGTATAGGAGGTAAATAAATGTCCCAGATACAGCAGGGAAACGGGAAGGCTCTTCAACTAGACTGACCGAAGTTTAGAGGTACAGTAGTAAAGTCAAACATGAGAGTATGCATGAACAGCTGACAAACACCAAATCTCATCATATTTATCACAACAAAGAAGCGACAAGGAACCAAAAAACAAATATAAAATTACTTTATACTGCTCCCTGGCACACCTCGTCGAAGATGTAAGAATCCAACACCTGCACGAGTTTAACCTGAACAAAAACACTTATGGAGAGACTATTGCATCTTCCCTGAACAGACCTCATGTCAGCAATTAGGCCCAATTACCTGGGCCATGAGTCAACTCTAAAGAAGCTGCCCCAAAGGAATAACCTAAAACCACACAGAAAATTTCAGTGGGTAACATTCTTTGCTAGTGATGCCAGAGGTGGGAACTTCAAAGCAAGTACAAAATAGTGCAGATTGCAAGTAATACTGAAGAAGTGTTAGTCTCCTTACCCAAATGGACAAAACAAAGGTCCCAGCAAGAGCGAAGTGTAAGAACAATGTCAGTAAAGAGAGCAAGGGTTTACCTTCCAGGGACCCCAAGTGGGGCTGGGTGCCACCAGGTGGTGACGGGCGCGATGGCAAATTAAATATGGCTTTGGTGTTCCTTGTTTGTTCGGCAATTTATGTAATTCTAATTTTTTTTAGTGTATTGTATTTTGAAACTTTCTTTGTTAGAAGAGTTTTGGCTTCATAGCAAGTCGATCTTTATCCTCACATACTCCACTTCCCTTTGAGGAGACGATACAATCACTGGAATAGTACTTATCAACGGCGAGCAGAAATAGTCATATAAGCCTGATAAGCGGAATGTGGCCTTGCGGCACCTGTGCCACTGGCTGAGGGGAACTACTGGGGACTGCCCAAAAAGCAAAACTTAATTACACTCAACATACTATATTGTCCTAACTATGGTGAACATGATTGAATCACACAAACTTGGAATTGAACTAAGCAAGCATACATGTAAATAACTAAAATAATTTAAAACAGTCTGATGAATAGTGGGGGACAGTAAATACTTACTGCTGTTGTATTTGCATATGGAGCAGGATTAGAGAGAATAGTGAGAGGCTTTTTCCAATTACATATCAGTCTCAAACTTGATCCTTTGTCATCCTCATCGCTGTTCAGCACATTGAAGACTGCTTCCACTGCACTTTCGACCTTAAGTTGTAAAGCATACAAAATAAATGAGTGCTTATGGATAAAGAATTTATTTTATCACACATTATCATTTACCTTATTTACCACACATGAGGTAGGAAGACATCTACCCAGAAAAACAAAGGTGAGCAAAATGGAATGAATAAAAACCAGCGTTGAATGCAATGAAACGCCATTTTCTGGGTAAGCCTCGGAGGCTCCCTGGAGCTATCGGGCTAATATGTGATATATTAGACCGGGGCATTATTCAATGGAGTTCAATCTACTGGGGACCATGAGCAAGAACCTGGCCCCCTAAGAGAGGTTGCAGGGAGCAATGGCACTGGAAAACCCCCGTGGTTAGGGTTTTTCCTTATCTGCCATCACCCGGGGTTAGGCATCCAGAAAGGTAGGCATAACAAAAACCCACATGGTAAGAAAAGTACAAAGAAAACTGAACAAAGGCAGACTGCCTCCAATCTCAAGTAAACAAGCAAACGTCACACGCCACTGCTGCGCTGCTCATCCGCACAGCCTTCCCCTCCCCGAGAGGAAGGCAGGAGTAGCTTCGGACCTCCCTAAGAGGGGGGAAGGGGTAGCTTCGGACCTTCCCAAGAAGGGGAGGGGGTAGCCTCGGACTTCCCTGCACTGGCTACCCAACACTAGTTAGAAGCTAAGCATCAAACAACGCGAAAAACCACCGACCAGAGGGAGGGTTGCCAGGGAGCCTCCGGGGCTCACCCAAAAAAAACGGCTTTTCATTACATTTAAAGCTGGTTTTCTGTAGGGAGCCCCCTTCGGCTCCCTGTAGCTACATAACCAAAGGTAAGGAAAAGAGGGACTTACCTGGGAGGCGGCCGCCACACTCTCCTCAACGCGAAGTCAAGACAACTGGCTGCAACCTGCGACCCAAAGCAACGCAGGAACGCCCAGGAGCAGGAACGTTAACCAAATAATGGGTGTCCAGGACTCTTTTCAACCTCATAAATCCCCACGCCCAAATATCATCCCAGGACATGCTGCTAAAGCAGCAAACTTCCTAATGTCATGGACACGAGGATAGACCTCAGGTTGGCTAGACTTAACCCTGCAGATAACCTGGGAGACCCGAACCCTGGAACAGGAAATGAGGGAAACCGGATCAACCCAAAGTGCATCCCTAGCTACCAAAGATGAAGCACGCAGATAACGGCAAAGAACCGCAACCAGAAACAACACATGATGCACTGCCCAGCCTGACCAACCAAGCATCAATGACCCAAGGACCCCTCCGGAAAGCAGCTGTCTCATTCTTTGTCAGAAAAGAAGGAGAAGGCTGCAACCAAACAGACTGACCACCAGGACTGAAAGAGCAGAAACCCCTGTGCCGGAGAACATGAAGCTCACCGACCCGACCCTCAAAGGCCAATGCCAACAGAAATAGTCTTAAAAACATAATCTTGAACAGAAATGGTCACCACAAACCGAGGAGAGGAAAGATAAGAGAGCACCCTGTCCAAGGACCAAGATGGCTCAGGCGGCACATGAGGAGACCGGAGGTGAAACAAAGCACGAGAAAGATTACGGAATGAGGCTGAAGTGACATCAGCCTCGAATGCAAGCTGGAGCGGCTCCACCAGCACCACACAATACGAGGCGACAGTATTAGGCATCAAATGATGGTTATAAAAAAGCCCAGATAGAAAGGACAAGACAAACCAGAACAAAAATAGAAGACAAGCTACAAAGAGAGAAAATGGCGGAAAGAACGCCAGGAAACTTCATACTGTTGCCAAGACGAAGCTCTCAGGTGGGACACCATCAATGAAGCCACTTGATCACCATACAATTGGTGGTAAACCCGTGTCAAAAAGACTAGATGTAAAGGGCGGAGAAGACTGAACCACCCGTGTACCAGACCAGGCCAACCTGCTGGAAGAGGCAGAGCAGCAGAAAACATCCTGAGTTCGCACTTCGAGCAAGCAGCGCCTGAAACAGCAAGGGGCCACGAGGACTACTCTCCCATGGTAGGACTCCAATTGAGCCAGAACCTGAAGCAACAGCTGGACCGGGGTAGGAAGGGGTACAAGAAACCCCACCTCGACCAGTCATGCTGAAAGGCATCCACCGCGACAGCCTCGCAGTCGGGAAAGGGCGCCACATAGATGGGGGAGACGCCAAAACCACGGCAACACGAAGAGATCCACATGTAGGAGTCTGTACATTCGGTAGAGTCAATGAAAGGAGTCGGTGTCAACCGTTCATTCCTTGGACAAGGAAATGAACCGAGACAGGCCATCCGCCAGGACTTCGGACACCACACGGAGAGCCAAATCCCAAGAAGCCAGCAGACGAGCTACTAGAAGCGACCAGCTCCAAAGAAGCAAGGACCGAAGAGAACCCCCACGGTTCAGGCAATAAACCACCGGAGAATAGTCCGAAAGGAGCCGAATGGTCGAACCCCATGCTCTATTTTTCTTCATAAGAGATTGAAGGGACTCCGATATGAAAGGTAAAATAAAAATAAAAAATCTTGTCACATTCATTCATTCTGGAACATTCAGTCTTGCTCAGAAATCAATTTTTCTGCATGCAGCCATGTGTGTTTGAATGCACACTAAACATTATTCCCTCACTATTGCATACTGTAAATCTAATATATTCTCCAGTATTATAAATCATTAATATTTTCTTACTACAGTGCATTTACGGAATGGTAATAAGAGCAAATTACAGTTTCTACAGAATTTTGTTTTTAGGTAGTACAGCAATCCATTAGGATTATTTTATTTCAAGAGAAAATTGGATTTTCTTCAGCTTATTTGAACTTCAGTGCCAAAAAAAGTGAAATTACCACAAAAACAAGAGTTTATTTGCATTAGTCATGTTTTATAAAAACAAAAAAGTTTACCCTCTTTGTTGGCCCAATTGCTGTGTGATGCAACTTCAAATGATCCAAGGATGGTAAATTTTCAAAGCCCTGATACGAGCCTGATGATGTAACTATTGAGCGAGACATTTTATCCTCAGAGCGCTGTAATCCAATGAAGAGTGTTCCCTGATGAAAGAGAATTTACTTAAAAAAAAAAATTACAGGTACAATATACCACTACTTCAATTCATAACCCAACCTACACCGATGAAAAGGGATAGAGATAATGATTTGGTCTATCCTAAACCCTCATCAAGTCATGTGTGCAGACCACATTGTCATCACTTTCCCTTCTTTTCATGTGTGTGGGGGTTTAGTTATTAATTTTCAGCATTTTACTGTGATTTATTCTCTCCTTTAATTCATATTTCATTGAGGTATGAAATATGATAAACTACAATCTTGATAAACTACAGGGTGTGTATACACAGCCGAAAATGATCATAAAACACAGTACTTCAAATCGTGCAGTGAACTGTTAGTCTGATGGCAATATGTAATGTAAACAGATTTCATCAAATCAGCAGCAAAATGACCTGAAGATCTTATCCAAATTTGTAACCTGTCAGGTAATACAGTACAGATTTGTATAACTAGGAAACCACCATGCTGTATGAGCTTTAATATTACACAGCTGTTATTCTGTAATTTTAAAGCTAAGTAGAATACAGTATAGCACTACTGTACTTGCAAAATTGTTATTGTACAGTATATATATATTTTAATTATTACTCGTTTAATTTAGTCAGACCTGAGAGTAAATCCAATTGTTAAATAATTACCCGAGCATCACTGCCATCACAAACGACCCATAGCGGTAAAAATTCCTTTATGTCATCTGACATCTTACTCAGAGCCAAATTGAACTTTGAAGCTATCAATCTGTTAAAAGAGAAAACAAGTTACATAATGATATTGTAAGTCGTAAGTTCAAAGAAATTAAAATTTCAAACTCGAAATGAAATGATGTGGTTCGTTTTCATTTAAATAGCTTTCTCTTGGCACAAATAACTTTTTAATAATGTGCTGTTATGTATTGTTACGTATTTGAAGTGCGGTTGAAGCAACATTAAGAAAAATCAAGTATACACTATTATTTCCATGACTTTTTTGTGCATTTACCAAGAAAATCTAGTTTTCACCCTTTCACATGGTGGATATTCCTCAGAACCTAGAATAAAAACCAAATGCAGAGACTTACAGAACATGGATATGACTAAGTGCCATCCACACTACTGCAAATTTTCACACCACAGCTTCCACCACCGGTGAAGAGATCACCTGTCAACAAGAGTCTGATGAAAGCTGGATACTAGGTCCAGACCAAGTTATGACACCCATAAACATCTTAAGTGGAGGATGAGTGTGCCATGGAACTCTACCTTCAACCCTAGTTCTGGCGAAGGTAAAATAATCCCTAATGAACAAAATTTGTCAAAATGCCTTCATCCAGTCATGGCCCAGCAGGTATATCATGGAGGTGAAGTTCAGGATGCTCAAAAGGTGCTTGAAGGCCTGACAGGAAAGCCATAGCACCAGTCCAAGACAGAAATATAACTGTAACAGGGCTACCCGAGGGAAATAAAGCGAGGCGATTCTGGTATCTCAGACCAGCCACAGCACACAACCTGAAATGGCACCAAATTGAACTTCTGCCAACTGGTCAAAAAGTCAAAGTAAGCCAACTGTGAAAGAACCAGATCTCTGACCATCATGATCATGAACCACAATAAAAACCAAAGCAATAGCCCCGCAGAACTAATGTTCCAAGGAAAGCCAGTACCACTTGGCACAAAGCATACAACATCCTTATATATTTATTTTATTTATAATAAATATATAGGGATGGACTCAGGTTGTAGACAATGGCATCAGATCAAAGAGTGAGGTTGCAAGTTGACCAGTGGTACAGTGCTGCCGGAGCTTGCCCGAGTTCGCCGGAGCGCCACTCCAGAACCTCTGCAAAAGGATGATGAAATGGGGAAATGGAAGAGAGGATGAGGGGAAGAGAGATGATGGCTTGTGGGTGATGGTTGATTATGGCAGCAAAATATTAGTATTACATCACTAATAAGTTAATAATGTTATGATATTTCTTCGTTTTTTTAAGGGATTCAATATTTAAAATTTTATATATTTAAAAAGTAAACAGGCTGAATTGTACTGTAACAAATCTGGAAACATAATACCTGATGCATGTGAACGCCTCCTGTCCATTTATGCGAGACAAACGGTATGCGACAAAGTTGCCAACCTATTGCTTTGGATACGAATATTCAGTGATAATGTTCATGGATTTAGCAGCAGTTCATTAGACAGGTATTCTTTATTCATACAATAGCATATTTTAGTATTAAATACTAGGTAGGTAAAACGACAAAACTGCTACACACCCCCTACGGTATACATAATTTAGTGCTTTTTGGGGTAGTTCTAGTGTTGTGTGATACACTTGAGTTGGAAAATGCTTCCGTGTTTCGGTGGCATTAGTAAGGTGGTGGCTAGTGTTCATGGATTTCTCTCTAATACAGAAGCATTTTTTTCTCACAAACTACCCCATCATGGCTTCTACACAAACATGTTGACTTCCTTCTTCCATAAACAAAATGAGGAATGTAAGAAGAATAACATACAGGAGACTGATAATGATATCAGTGAAAGTGGCAAAGTTGTGTTTCGACTGCCTCTAGTTCAAATTTTCAAACTGGATCCATGTGCAACTCAGAAAGTAATGGTGCTCTGAAGTCTAACTTGTATCCCTGTTTAGGTGTTTGGAACAAAGAAATGTGGGAGATAAAAAAGGAAACCTATCCATGGTTAGACTTCAGGGATGATAAACTTGGGTGTAAGGTGTGTGCAAACATAAGCAATGTAACCCTTTTCACTTCTAAGGGTTTAAGACTATCAAATGAGTGACAGATGTAACAAGTATATTATACACACAGAAATCACAATAGTGTGATGCATCAAATGAACAAATCCACAAGGGCCATGATGAGGGTTCGAACCAAGTACTGTATATATTTATCAAGTACTGTATACTATTATGGAGCAGATTGAAGTACATGCTTGAAGTCTCTCAGAAAAAAAATTGTTGATCATAATCTATCGAGAGCTAACACTGCTGCTTTACAGCGTTGAAAATGTAGCTAGTGAAGATGCTCTGGGAAAATTGTGTGATGCCATAAATGCTTTGCATCTAAATACAATTTGTTCAATTTTGCATTCTGCATATTATTTAGCTCAGAATGACAGGCATTTTGGCTTACTGGCACTACAAAAGCAAAATGGTGTTGACATTGGAACTGGACTGCATTCCCACACTAGTGCCACAGAGATAATTAATCACATAACCATTAATATGAAAAAGAAAATTTGCCAGCATATCAAGCAGATAAATGGCAAAATTTATGTTCTCATTGATGTATCAACAAGCCTGAGCATTAAGGGGCCCGGTGACTGAGGAGTATTTTTCCAAATATGAAATAGTGAAAATTTGTAAAAAAAAAATATCCTGTTATTTGGCATCAGCATCGTGAAAATTTCCTCCCAATATGTTAAAAAATGGATTTTTTACAATTTTTTTTTAAATAAATGTGTGTACGCAACAGGCGGTAACCGGAACTTATTATAACGATAACACATCCTATTTACTGGTAATCAGGGATAAAGAGATGCAAGCACCTGTACGATGAACAAAGAAGAAAAGCAGTAGTAAGGAGGGTCCACAAAGTGGATATGCAGCTGGTGCCATCTGGAGGGCCAGATTTCACATATAATAATGAGTTAGTATGTTGTTATGCTGTTTTTTATTATGTATCATATAAATATGTTGCCCAATGGCAATATTTTTATGTTTCTGTACGAAAAGCTGACAACCCTTTTTTTTTTCCTCTTTTGTTTCTATGCAGATTTTGTTGTGACTTCTACATCTTGGAGAATGCATATCCGGCACTAAGCAAATGAAGTAGGAATGAAATTGGACAACATGTTAATCAGCCACAGGAGGCAGATGTTGTGACTTATTTTTGGGGGAACGATTTAGTTACAGATTCAAATTCTATTCTCATTGTCTCTTTAGGTTGTATTGATGAATGAGGACCAGATGAAGGCCTTATCATTTATATGTGGGCAATAAAGTTACTGGAATATGTATGTATGTTTTCCATAACCTATCCATATATTTTGTTTTTTGGGGGGTTATTTTTTCTTGACTTCATTTGAACACACATTGACCTACAACTTTCACATATTTGAGTACAATTACCATGCAATCTTAATTAAAACTTACAAGATATGTAATAAATTCAAAGTACTATATACATTGTCGAGAACTTTAACTTCATTTTTCTGTATGAAACAGAATTTTCAATCTTGAGACCTGATAAAACATTAAGTTTCTGACCAATTGCCACCATTTTTACATATGTGCAAAGTTCTTAGTTCTAGGGTGTCTATTTTGTCGTTTAGTCATAAAGCCATAACATTTGGAGTTATTAATTTTTTGCGTATAAATTTGACACATATTTGGATGGCCACATTGAAAAAATGTTTTATAGTGCACTATACCCTCAAACAATATTTTGCCAAACAGAACATGAACATTTTATGCCATTCTGAGACTATAATGAATAAAATAATTGGTGACATTTTAATATTTTTATTACTAATTTGAAATTGTGATTTTATTTTTTATTTTATTTTATTTTTTTAACTTCTTTTTCTGTTCATGGTATGATGTTGATCCATTAGAAATGTTGGCGCATTTACCCTGAAGCATTTACCACAAAAAATTTTAGTGCATTTGAGGAAATTTCGGTGCACAAGCACTGGGGCCCCTTAAAGCAACTTTGATTGTGTACTTGAAATGTGAAAGTGATAAGTTAATCTCAATGTCATGTTCTTAGATCTAAATGAACTACGTGATCAGAGAGCAGCAACTATTGAGGCATCTATTGAGCTGTCTCAATTATCATAGGTTTGATGACTTATATTTGAAACAGAACCTTGTAGCATTTGTTAGTGATAGGCAAGTGTCATGCTTGGTGTCAAATCTGACATTGCAACAATTCTCAAGGAACATTACCCTTATTTAATAATCTGACACTATCTTAATCACAGATTAGAACTTGCAGTAAGTGATTCAGCGAGAGAAGGTCATGGAATTAATAATTTTCAAGCATTTATGGACAAATTGTAATCAGTTTAAAGTAGATCACCTCTAAATCAAAAGGAACTACTGTATCCGAATGTGCCTCTTGACTTGAACAACAGAATTGCAAAATAGGTCATGTTCTGAACACCAGGTGGGTAGCCAGTTCTTTTTGAACAGTTTCAGCAGTGTAGAAAAATTACAAAGCACTTTGTTTTTATTTTGAAAAAGCAGTGAAAGATGAAATGAGATTTGGAATGATAGAAAAACCTATTAAGGTCTGTTGAAAAAGCTAATTTCAGATCAGTTTCTATTGAATTTAGCAATAATATATAACATGTTGCATGAACTTGGTTTACTGTCAGAGTGTCTACAGAAATGCACTACTTTAAATGTGTATACAGACAAACTGATTCAACAGAGCACAAGGTCATTTCATGGACTAAAAGAGAAACCTGGCACTAGAACTTTAGAAGCTCAAAAGGCAATTGAAAAGGGAAAGTTTGGAGGAATTACCATAACAAGCAACAAGAAAATTGTCTCCATTAATTATAAAGTTTCTTACTAGTCTTGTGAACAATTTGCAGCATCACATGTTCACGACAACATCCATGAAAGGCTCTCAAACTTCTGAACCTCAAAATAAGTATAAATCACTGCTAAGTGAAATGTGTGTCCTTGAAAAAAAAAAAAGACTACTGGCCTATGAAATATCACCTAATTACAGAGAAGCTGAAATATTATCTCTAAGAGGTTTAAGCTTTCTTCTTATTCTACACTAAACACCTTTAAAGACTATGTGGAGGATCATAGACACTGCATCCCCAAAGATTTACACCCATTACTGAGCTGTTTACAAATTATTCCTATTAGTACTGTGGAGTGTGAGAGGGGATTGAGTCACATGAACCTGATAACAACAACACACTCAAGTATTCTCATAAATCATGTATCAGCACTTATGTTTGTTCAACTACATGGACCTCTTTTATAGTTCAGTGAAATTCTGAGCCATGATACCTGGTTGATACCTGGTTGATACCTGGTTGATACCTGGTTGATGGGGTTCTGGGAGTTCTACTCCCCAAGCCCGGCCCGAGGCCAGGCTTGACTTGTGAGAGTTTGGTCCACCAGGCTGTTGCTTGGAGCGGCCCGCAGGCCCACATACCCACCACAGCCCGGTTGGTCCGGCACTCCTTGGAGGAATATGCCATATGCCATATCATCGCTGCAGTACCACAGATCAGCAGATGACACCAGGACAAGAGTTGCTTCAGATTCCAGAAAACATCTCACACCTGACCTTTTGGAAACTATTGTGAAACATCTCACTGGTTGTATTTTGTGAGCATTAAGTGTTTTAACTTCTTAAATTTATAAATACATGATTGATGTTTTTCTTTATTTGTTTGATAATTATATTTTATGATAATTAGCGAGTACAAACACAAAATACTTAATCGTGTGACATATATAAACACAGGATAGGAAATGACAGGCTTTTGTCAGACCCACCAGAGCTCTAGCACCTATAAAATTGGCACTACACCCCTGGCTGTGACCTCGAGAGGCCACATCTGCACTCTGGTGACAGTCAAGCATATTACGGTCAGGGTATATACTCTGTGGCAACAATTGTTGGCCTTGTTTTCCTATGCATTCTGGTAACAGTTAACTCTGATTTTGGTTGGTCACCAATCCCCAAGTTTACCTCACTCTGCAAAGCAAGTTAGATTCTGGTCCTGGCTTTCAGAAGGCAAGAATAGGCTCCGAGGTATGATATGATTAGTTAAAGCTTGGAAAAGTACTGAGAAGTTCTTCTCAGAAAAAGAGCATAGACAATGTAATATTTTGCAATAAAATTCTTTGGCTATGGAGTGACTACATACACAATATAGGCATAGAAACATAACCTTAACTATTATGTGCTCGACATTCATTTGAACTGTATTTGTTATGTAATCAGTCATGTTTTAAGTATATTTCTTTTATTATTGTTTGATATTTGTATAATTGTCATATTTCCCTTAGTTTTAAAGTTGCTATACACTTTATAATAAATATTTAGGACCATTTCATTTAAGTAGCCATGAGATTTGGGAGCAGCCATAAAATTTCACATGAAAGCAGATGCAATGAACAATGTATTGTTATGGGGGATTCTTATAGGACCAGAATGTTAAAATAGGGTGATTTTTTTACAAAACATATTTCAATGAAGCAAGGTTCCACTGTACTTTGTCTATTGTCTCCATTTACGAAGTAAAACAGTACCTTGGGCCAAACAAATAGCTGGTGAGCAAATAACCATTTGGTGACAAACCATACCAAAATAACTTACACAGCTTTTGTGCTACCAACTGGTGTGTAGGAAAGAGTATGTTTGTTTTTCTTGGAATGCAGCAGGGAAACTCCAAATGGTGAGAAGTCTGTCTCGTATCCATCTTGCATGAAGGAACACTTTAGAGGAGATCCAGTCACATCCAAATCTGACAGAGAACACAAGTGATTAGAAAATTTATCATAATGATCCACATAATTGAGCACAAGAATGTTAAAATTTAAGAATATTTAGTAAAAATGGATAGTGAATTTTAAAAACATTACCTGGCCATCTACTTAATATGTATTTTCACCTACCACAAGGACTACAACTCGGCATGAAAATGGATGTGATCATAATCAATGTAGTTAAAAGTGCAACATTCTATTCACATAATTGAAAAAAATTTCCCTACAAGCTGGTTTAATATCTTTGGATATACAAAAAAACAAAAAATTATTCATAGCTATCAACACAAATTGCAAACTAACAGTTTTGACTGAAATGAGCAGGCAAACCGCTGTAAAGGGTACAACAAACTGATAAGTGCATGACTTAATTTATTAAATTTCACAAAAAGTTACAGCAATTTGTAACTAATAATAATTCATTGTTGGGACAGGAAGCCAGAGTGTATTCATACACGTTTGGCTTTTTATCAATCTTCTCCCTTCCCCCTCCCCAAGGCTGAATTACTGACCCCACCCAGGATGCAACCCAACAACAAGCTGACTAACTCCTGCGTATCTACTCACTGCTAGGTGAACCCCTTTCATTAGGTGAAAGGAAATGTGCCAAGCCATTTCTGTCCAGCCCGAGATTCGAACCCGAAATTCTCATTTGTGCTTCGAGAATGATTCCAACTGAACTACCGGGACCCTTCAATGTTATCACACCAATAACCAATTGATTCAGATTTGGACTGTATAAATTATTTACAGTGCACAAGAAGTGGTAGGGAATAAGGCTAGGTGGAATTGGTTTTTTACGCATGAATGTTTGACAGTTTCATGTAACTCACTGGAAGCACTTTACATCTGGTTGCATGTAGTGGGAGTCCTACTATGGATATATTGCTGGAGTAGGGAGGTTACATGTGATACTGAAGTTTGTAGTGTAGAAGACATGATGAATGGTAGGGATAATTTTTTTATATTTTTATCTTCCTTTTCTATTTTATATCCTATTTCTTCTAGGTTTAGACTTTTCCATGCAAAAAGAGTGGGAAACGGTAATGATAATGATTAAATAATTGCTTCTAAAAGCTAATCTACTTCAGAACACAAAAGATGAAATAAGTGCAGAAGGCCTGAAGACGTAAGGTCAACTGAACAGTGCAATAAAATGCATATCCAAAAGTTTGTTTAAAAAATATCACTAACCATAGCTGCAAATTCTAACTTTAGCAGGAGTACTGCCCATGGCATTAACAGGAGTAACAGTCTGTAGAGTACTGTCATTAGAGCCGGAGCGCAAGAGCCTTTTATTGTGCTGTGGAGTAAACAAAATTTAATTGAGTACACTGAGAAGCTCTATCCATCCCTAGCTGTATCAAGCATAAACAAGTAATCATGTAGTATTTAAATTTTAATGGCTGCATTCCCGGAATACTATATATTTACACCATATAAAATAATGTGAAGAATTTTAGAGGGAAATTAAAATTCATTCCAGAACATATTTGTTGTGTATGATGATACTTGTTAACAGTAAATGAAACTGGATTCAGCCTCTAGCTTGGCATTAAATTAGGATTCATGACCCACTTGCAAAAAGGCTGTTAGTAAACCAGACAGTTGTGCCATTCAAACAAATGAATCTGTACATTTCATACATCGCCATTGCCCCCATAAGGCGAGTAATACAAAAGGTTACATTTTTGTTTAAATAAAAAACAATAAAAATATCACTCCCATTCATACAATCATTCACAATAACATGTGTCATGGATACACGATACGTGAGAATTGAAAACTGAATGTTACCTGTGATAAGCGCTGGATAAGAATAATTTCTGGACAGTTCTTGTTGGTGGGTAGAAGTACGGCAGGACAGGCCTCACGACTCACAACGAGTTTTTCCTCATCAACAACCACATGTTCACCACAATCACTCTTCAGCAACAGCCTGCAGAAGTAACCAATAATAATTAAATAAAGATACTGTATCTCTTAAGTTGTTAAACCAAAACCTTTCTTGGAATACAGGATTATCTTACACACAGCAAATTTTAATACATAACTAAAGAGGAGTACAGTACTACAGTAGCTTTATTCAAAGCTGGCGTTCCGCGAGCACTATGTCATGGGTTCGTATCCTGGCCGGGGAGGATTTACTGGGCGCAAATCCTTAACTGTAGCCTCTGTTTAACGCAACAGTAAAATGTGTACTTGGATAAAAAAACGATTCTTCGCGGCAGGGGATCGTGTTCCAGGGACCTGCCCAAAATGCTACGCGTACTAGCGGCTGTACAAGAATGGAGCAACTCTTGTATATATCTCAAAAAAAAAAAAAAAGCCAAAGCACAGCTCCACATTTCCTCAACAGTTTATTATTGTTATGGTCATGAATGTGTAAATTGGAAAAGCCTGTAGAAACTAAATTCTTTCACATGGAACTGACAGATGCTCACAAGCACCAATGTAGTTCAGAGCCTTTCAAATAGAGATCAGAACTTTTCAAATAAAGATTACATGAACAATGAATACTTAAATTCCAGCACAGTGGTACCTCGGAATGCGAGTGTCCCTGTATGCGAGTTTTTCGGAAGACGAGCAGGATTTACTCCAAAAATATGTCTCGGAAGGCGAGGGTTACCTCGGGATGTGAGTTTGTTGATACGTGTACAGGCCGACTGGCGCGTGGTGGCATGGCGATCGCGCCTCAGTTTACCAGTGTCTCGTGTCCAGTGACTATCCCACCTGAATTCTTCACAAGGATTTACAGTTTTTTATCGTTTTTTTGACCATTTGAGCATAAAAGTTGTCATTATATATCTTGCCATGGGTCTCAAGCAAGCCATTGGTAAGGTTCAACCTAAGAAAATAGCTGTGAGTAGAGGCAGTAGAGGATGTCCCTTCTTGATTAAGAAAATGTGTGAAGTATGGGAAGAACTGCAAAGTTTTGTTGAAAAAACTCACCCAGATAAAGCTGTAGCAGGCCGTTGCATTGACCTTTTAAATGATAATGTGATGTCTTACTACAGACAAGTGTTAAAATGTAGGGAAAAACAAGTGTCATTAGACAAATTCTTAGTAAAACAAGCAAGTCCTAGTGGTATGCAGGCAAAATGTGCCAGAGTGTGCATACCAGTGAAGTCCTCACTGCCTGATGTGATAATGGAAGGGGACTCCCCTTCCAAACAGTAACTCCTCTCTTCCTCCCACCTCCTCACCATCTTATATACGCCTACAGCATTCAACAGCAAGGTAAGTAATAACTTGAACATAGTTTTGTAGGTTTATTTAGATGAATTAGGTATAAAAATTTAGTTTGATGTGGGGTTTTTGGGGTAGTCAGGAACGGATTAATTCATTTCCCTTTATTTCTTATGGGGAAATTAGCTTCGGAATGCGAGTTTTCGGAATACGAGGCGTCTCCAGGAACCAATTAAACTCTTAAACTGAGGTATGCCTGTACTTGAAATACTTTTGTACAGTATCTTTTATAATGCTTCATTAAATAACTCTATAAATAACATTTATCTATTATTTTTCCCAGTATTAGTCAGAGAACAAGGGCTACAGTCATTCATGTTGTACCTGGACTAAAACCATACATCCGTTAAAGTGTAAGCAAAAAGTAAATTTAAAAAACATTTTTGCTAGTTGCAAATATGAAAAGTATTGCTCCTTTGAAGGTCTTTATTATATTAAACTTGTCATCTTAACTTACTTCACTTTAACTTACAAATGAACTTTATTGCAGTGGTTTTTACAAATTAACTTTTAGAAAAACTCCCAAATCTATAGCCTTGGCTTTATCAGGCATCTTAAAGAGGAAACTAGTTTTGTTCCTCCAAGGAGTGCCGGACCAACCGGGCTGTGGTGGGTATGTGGGCCTGCGAGCCGCTCCAAGCAACAGTCTGGTGGACCAAACTCTCACAAGTCGAGCCTGGCCTCGGGCCGGGCTTGGGGAGTAGAACTACTCCCAGAACCCCATCAACCAGGTATCAACCAGCCTAGTGGACCAAACTCTCACAAGTCAAGCCTGGCCTCGGGCCGGGCTTGGGGAGTAGAAGAACTCCCAGAACCCCATCAACCAGGTATCAACCAGGCACTTTCAACATAAAATTGTATATTGACTGCCTAAAATCACACTATACTGAGCTCCTTACACTAGACTAATTACTTATCTATCCTTGTCTCATTTTTGGAACCAGTGTTTAAAATTAATTTACTGCTAACTACAGTACCACAAATCCATCATACCATCATTAATTATTATACCCAAATATACAGCACCATTTAATAAAGCTTTCAACACGCTATATATGGCCACCGTGCACACTGCAGATTTAACCCATTGTTTAAACTCTTCCTAGGGTTCGAACCCTAGCAATAGAATCCACAGGCATCACAAAATAAATATCTCAATAACCTAACTATATATGCCATTTAAATGTAGACTAATCACGGTTGAAATGAGAAATAACAGCGGGTTACAGCGAGAAATTTCCACCGGTTATATCATCTATTATGTATGTCTTTGCTTCTCTTAATTTATTTGAGGTACTGTAGTACTAATATAGCATTTTATTGCATTCTGCAAGATGACTCACAATTCAGAACCTTATATTAAATTACAGTAATAATATAGTATACATGGCACTTCTGCATTTGGCAAGTCTAACTTCAGGATCATCAAACAAATACAGTACACGTTTCAAAATACAGTAATATTTATATACTGTGCAGGTATTTTGAACAATTATATTTCCAATTGCTAAATTGTTATGTATAGTAGGGTTAGGCTGGTTAAGCTCTTATTTATTTATTTATTTATATACAAGAATGTACATTGGATTTGTGAGAATACATAGCATAGTATTTACAATCTTGTAAAGCCACTAGTACGCGCAGCGTTTCGGGCAGGTCCTTAATCTAACATAATTTTAAGTAGGCAAATTCTAGCAGAATTAATAAAATGATAACAAATACATTGCAAGAAAAAAAATGAGATGAGAGAGATTAGCAAGTATATTACAGCACATTGGTATATTAAAGGTCTTTAATTACTTATGGTCTAAGTGCCTTGTATCCCTTGTTCCTCCACAACTGCCGTAACCCTCTAAAAAGCGTTTAGGGTCAAGATAGTCATTACATTAAAACGGTTTAGGTATAAGGGTTAAATTTGTTATAGCTATGGGCTAGAAGGGCAATACCGTGGCAGATTTGAATTAATTATTTCACTAGTTTCAAGACACTTGTTGTATATGGCAAGTTCTTCTTACCCTACCTTTTCAATAGTGCCTGTATCTCATCATGCTGCACCTCATATGTGTCTTCCATAGTGCCTAATAATCGAACAGAAGCCAGAAAAACCGAGAGAGATTTTGGTCCTTGATTTCCCGCTAAATAAGTTTTGTGTATTTTATTTTGGTGTGTAAACTACTAAGACGGTAAAGTAGAGGCGCCGCCGCCACACGTCACGCCCGCCACACACACTACAATTTCACAAATAGATGGCGCTAACAAATATTTTGAATTGTATAATATAATTCATTGTGCCGGGGACAGGAAGCCAGATTATACATTCGGTGCATATTATGCTTATATTGAGGTCCCCCCCACCACCACTGACCCTCCCCAGGATGTAACCCCATAACAAGCTGACCAACTCCTATTTATTTTATTTATTTATTTGTATATATATACAAGAAGTTACATTAGGTTTATGAGCGTGCATAGCATAATGTGTTTACATTCTTGTAAAGCCACTAGTATGCACAGCGTTTCGGGCAGGAATGTACATATTAACTGCTAAGTGGACAGGGGCATGAGGTGAAAGGATACTAGTCACTTGGTACAGAAAACATATTTTTACCATTTTGGACACAAAATTTGTACGTTTTGTATTCAGGTATTTATATTTATTTTTATTTAATTTATATATACAAAAGCACTTGTAAAAAAAATACAAAAATAATAAACATGGCTTGACCAGACCACACACTAGAAGGTGAAGGGACGATGACGTTTCGGTCCGTCTTGGACCATTCTCACAATCGACTTGAGAATGGTCCAAGACGGACCGAAACGTCATCGTCCCTTCACCTTCTAGTGTGTGGTGCAGCCATGTTTATGCAGGCGATGAGTCACAATAATGTGGCTAAATTATGTTGACCAGACCACACACTAGAAGGTGAAGGGACGATGACGTTTCGGTCCGTCTTGGACCATTCTCACAATCGACTTGAGAATGGTCCAAGACGGACCGAAACGTCATCGTCCCTTCACCTTCTAGTGTGTGGTCTGGTCAACATAATTTAGCCACATTATTGTGACTCATCGCCTGCATAAACATGGCTTCTCCATCTATCTGCCATTATATGTCTTCCGAAGGGGTTGTGAATGGGCCCAACTTGGTGCAAATCTTCCAAAGATTACGGAGGGCAGACTCTGTAATGTCTAGTTTTGGAGTAGTATTGTCATGGTAGATTCTGTCTAACATTAAGTTGATGGTGGGGTCTTTTCAATATCTACTGATGTAAACCTGACCAACTATAAACTGTGCCAACAAAATTATTCGCAGGGCGAAAACATATCTGAGTTCAGAGACAATTCTATAACAAATGTTCAAGAGATGTGTAAATATTTTATTCAAAATGATCTGCTGCTAGAAATCTTAGCCAAATATCCCCAGTTTGCTATATCCTAACTGATATAGCTTGGGAAACAGAGCTCAGAGGAAAGACGGCTCAAGACATGATGGGCTACATCACACAGAAGTGTAAGAAGGCAGCAGACAAGTTCTTCCCAGTCCAAAAGGAAAAAAAATGAAAGGCAGATGAGAAACCCATGGTTTAATTAGAAATGTAAGACAGCAAAGCAACCAAGTAAAAGGGCGCGGAGAACACTAGAGAGCAGAGAAAGATACCAGAGAGCAAGGAATGAATACGTCAGGGTGAGAAGAGAGGTAGAGAGGGAATATGAAAATGACATAGCAAGCAAGGCAAAGACTCAATCCAAACTGCTGCATAGCCGCAGCAGGAGGAAAACAACAGTGAAGGAACAGGTAATGAAACTGAGGGTAGGGGCAGAAAGATTCACTACAAACGACAAGGAAGTGTGCTAGGAACTCAATAAGAAATTCCGGGAGGTCTTCATCTCAGAGCAAGGAGAAGTCCCAGAGATAAGAGAGGGAATATCAAACCAGACACCACTAGAGGAGTTTGTGATTACCAGTGGGGAGGTGAGGAAGCATCTGCTAGATTTGGATGTGACAAAGGCTATCGGCCCGGATGGAATCTCACCATGGATTCTAAAGGAAGGAGCAGAAGCTCTGTGCCTGCCACTCTCCATGGTGTACAACAAATCACTGGTAACAGGTGAACTGCCAAAAATTTGGAAGATGGTCAATGTAGTCCCAATATACAAGAATGGTGATAGGCAGGAGGCACTGAACTACAGGCCAGTGTCCGTAACTTGCATTCCATGCAAGATGATGGAGAAGATTGTGCGAAAAAACTAGTAGAATATCTAGAGCGGAAGAACTTTGTAACACTTTTTAAATAATTAACACTTCATTTTTGGGTAGATTAATGTTAAAGCAGAATGTCATAAGCAGGGCTGGTGTGTTGAACTAAGATGATTTATTAAGTGGATGAAACCTTTAGCTGATCCCTTCCTGTGATTGGCTGTTGTTGTGAATGTCAACAAAGAGTTTCTACCAATGATATGACAGCATGGAAATTCTTACTTCAGCACAACAACCTACCTTATGGGTTGCTGTTCGGCTATTGATAGATCAATGTTGAAGAAATAGATGGCGCAAGCTGTATTTTGTAGGGTGGTCTGTTAATAGTCTAATTTGGTGTCAAGAGATGGCATAAGTTGTATCTTATGGCTACGCTTTGATAAATTCATCAGCTCTATCATGCATTCGGAGGCCAACATGAGATGGAATCCACATGAAATGGACTCTGTTACCATCATTAATAATTTTGTTGTATTTGTGTCTAGCTTCAGGCACGAGCATGTTACAGTTACGTCTTAAAGAGTTGAGAGCAATAAGGATGATAAAGAGTCGCTTACAATTAATGTATCAAGTTTGGAGACTTGTACACATTTCAGTTTAAGAAGCAAGGCAAATAGTTCGGTCTGAATGGTAGAGACCCAGTTGTTTAGACGGACTTCCCACTCAAAATATAAGCCCAGTTGCCCATTGTCAGGACAACTGCACTTCCAGCTGCACTCGTGGGGTGGTGTGGAACCATCAGTGTATATGATTTGAAAGAGAGAATGCTCCGTGGACAGAACATCAATATGGCTTAAGACGTTGAGCTTTGCCTCAAGACGAAGCTTGGACTGATCTCTAATTTGCTTCTTGGGTGAAAAGGGAGGGATTAAAATTGGAAAGGGTATAATCTCCCATGGTGCAGAAAAGTACCGTTGAATATGAATATACAGCTGAATATGGAAGGGGATGGGGGGAGGGTGGCAGTCATTGCTTACAAGGTCTCTCGTGCACGTGAGCAACTCTGCAATATCGTTGGTGGAGTTTTTCTCTGTTGGGGCTGCTCTTGCAGCCGCTTCGTCTCCTGCAGTGACTGTGACAAACCCATTAATAATACAAATAATGGGTTTGTTCCCATCAAGCGTAGGTTAGACATATGAGTGAGTTTGGGTGGATAGGAGCTGCCTCGTATGGGTCAATAGGCCTCCTGCAGTTACCTTCATTGTTATGTTCTTATGTTATGACTGTTGCCACCGTTCATGAAGGGCAGCCGCTGCGTCTCCTGCTGTGACTGCTGCTGGTGTTGCTGCCACCGTTCATGAAGGGCAGCCGCTGCGTCTCCTGCTGTGACTGCTGCTGGTGTTGCTGCCACCGTTCATGAAGGGCAGCCGCTGCGTCTCCTGCTGTGACTGCTGCTGGTGTTGCTGCCACCGTTCATGAAGGGCAGCCGCTCCGTCTCCTGCTGTGACTGCTGCTGGTGTTGCTGCCACCGTTCATGAAGGGCAGCCGCTGCGTCTCCTGCTGTGACTGCTGCTGGTGTTGCTCCACCGTTCATGAAGGGCAGCCGCTGCGTCTCCTGCTGTGACTGCTGCTGGTGTTGCTGCCACCGTTCATGAAGGGCAGCCGCTCCGTCTCCTGCTGTGACTGCTGCTGGTGTTGCTGCCACCGTTCATGAAGGGCAGCCGCTGCGTCTCCTGCTGTGACTGCTGCTGGTGTTGCTGCCACCGTTCATGAAGGGCAGCCGCTGCGTCTCCTGCTGTGACTGCTGCTGGTGTTGCTGCCACCGTTCATGAAAGGCAGCCGCCGCTTGATCAGTGGAGCGACCCAAGGGCGAGTTGATATGGAGGCTGAGGCTGCGATCCGTCTCATCTTGATCCTGTTGCGATGTCTGCTGCTGTTCCTTATCTATCACTTCCAGTTGACTGTGGGGTCTAACTGTGGGTGCTCCCCCCACACTAGGTGACATTGTCCCAGCATCGGGGATTGGCCAGTCTACATCAGAGGCAGGCCCACCGCTGGCTGAACCCTTTGGTCTGGCACCAGTCCCTTTGTGCACTTCGTAATTTGTATAGTTGAGGCAATTGACAGTGGTTAGGTTTATGGCGTTGTGTATCTTGACTTTCGCAAAGCTTTTGATACAGTGCCACATGAAAGACTGATTTAAAAAGTTAGAGGCTCACGGCATTGGGGGTATTACATTAAGTAACTATTAAGGATTAAGGATAAGGGCATGACTATACCAAAGGAAACAAAAAAGTTAGTATAACTGGAGTTAAGTCAGAATGGGAAAATATTGTAAGTGGAGTGCCTCAAGGCTCTGTCCTGGGACCTCTGTTATTCATGATATATATTTATAATTTAGATTCAGGTTTGAGCAGCAATATTTGCAAATTTGCCGATGGAAAAACATTCACTATCACTTCAAGACGATCTAAATAGTGTTTTGAAATGGTCAAAAGATGGCAGATGCAGTTTAGTGCTGACAGATGCAAGAGTTTGAGGCTAGGTAATGATGATAGCAGTTCCCGTGGTGTAAAGTGCCAAACGCCCAAACTAACGACATAAACGTGATAAACGCTCAACAGAAAAGTAGTTAATACAAAACAAATAGGTGGCAAATACTCAGCAAAAAAGTGGCAAATTCCCAACAAAAAATGGCAAATGCCCCTTAAAAAAGCAAATGCCAACAAAAGAAATGCTAAGGCCCAACAAAAAAGTGCAAACGCCCAATAAAAAAAAGTGCCAACAGAGTTTTTTCTAGCCTAATTTGACATTTTTTGTTGTCCGATTTGGAGTTTTTTTGTTGGAGGATTTGAATTTTTTGTTGGTCGATTTCTAGTTTTTTGGGGGGAATTGGAACTTTGTGTTGGTGGATTTGAATATTTTTGTTGGATTTGGAATTTTTTTGTTGGAGGATTTGGAGTTTCTTTTTCCAGACTT